GTCACTTAAGCTCTCTTGGTCTCAGTTTTCTCCTCTGGAAAAAGGGGTACCTACCTCACAAGGCTGTGATGATCAAATAAGGTAAATTATGTAAAGCTCTTTGTAAATCCTAAAGCTTTATATAAATGTTAGTCATTATTAATAATAACTTCCAAGACTGTCAACTTTCTAAGATTTGTGGACAGGCTGTAGTTTGTGTGGGCAGAGAAAGTTCCCACCTTAATAAAGTTAACAATCTTTGACATGTTGACACAAATTTAAGGCATTGTGCTAGATGCTGGGGATACAAAAAACAGATGCTTGGTGTAATTCCTTTTTGATACCCCAACCCTCAACTCTTACGACAGTTCTCTTTGAGGATGGCTACCCAAGGTTCAAGGTACTTTGTACTCTCTCTACTCCAAAAATATAGTTTGTGATATATTTACCCGTTAATAGTCAGAGCTAACAAAAATGCAAAGAAATTTACTAGAGTTGCATTATATGAAAAAAACCCCAACGAAACAAATCCCACATAAACCTGGAGGAAACTCTCCTACAAATACATCCAGCCTCAATAGAGAGAAGAGACTACGGACGTAAAGGTCGTAAGGAGAGAAGCAAACACAGGGCGTTGACCAAGATGTCTTGGAGGAGGAGCAGCTTATGACTTGCTGGCTGCAAGGATGCCACTCCTGCTCACCTCAGTCTCACAGTCCTCACTGCGCTCTTCTCCATTAATCACTGCTTGACAAGTCTGGGTTTCAATCCCCATTACTTCCATTCTCTAGTTCCGCTAAAATTCGAAGTGGCTTTGCCTTAAAAACAAGATATTGTTTGGGAAACGCAGAAGAAGATTCAGTGCTTGGAACTCAAATTTAAAAACTCCTGGATTCACAGTTGCCTATGAAGCAACTCTCAAAGCTTGTGCTGCTGACCCAGAAACGTCTTTTTTCAGCTTATTTCTGAGATTATGTTCTCTAGGAAGTCTAGGAAATCCCATTCCTCTTCACAGAAGATTGGGATTCAGGAAGCAATTTTCTGAATTCCCCTGTCAGGCTCTATGAAAACCTCATGTCTCCTGCTACCCTGAGCTTCAGCTGCTATTATTAATGAGGACAGAAAACCATTTTCTACTCCCTGCTATATTTTACAAGAGGTACGAGGGAAAAGATTAAGGGCAAGTCTTAAGCTTAATAGTACCTCCCTCCCAGGATTGTTGAGGATCAAATGAGAAACTATATGTAAAAGGAAGGGAAATAAGCATTTATATAGGGTCTGCTATGTATCAGGAACTGATTTTACAAATACTATCTCATTTGATCCTGTAAGGTAGGTCTTGTTATAATCCTCATTTTACAGTTGGGGAAACTGTATTTAAGTTAAGTGATTCCCAGGGTCAAGCAGTCTTAACAGCTAGTGAGTGTCTGATGCCACATTTGACCTTGGGTCTCTGTGACTTCTGGCCCAAGCTGTCTCAGATGGTAAAGCCCTTAGCCCAGTGCTTGGCACATAGTAAGTGGTTGTTTTCTTCCTTCTTTTCTTTTTCCCTTCCTTCCTTCTTTAATGAGAGCTTCCTCTAGAGCTCCGACGTTCCACAAGAGCTAATTTTCCAGAGCAAATTGATCGGGTTCGTGGGGAGGTGGTGGTAGGGTGGCAGGTTTTTTTAAAGGTCCATGGAACAGCAGATCCTCTGTCAACCAATCACAAGTATTTTGTTTCCCATCAGCTGCCTTCATCCAATGTCCTATCATGGTATCAGGTTGTTTAGAAAGTTTCCTTATATGCTGCTGGTGGATTAATTAGGGAATTCCCTTTATTATATGCTGCTATTAAAACCAATTGGGAAAACTCCCCAATTCTGTCCCTGGCAGCAACTGAAGCCCAGACGGGGGTAGCAAGGAAGATGGACATACATAAGAAAGGCATGATCTTTGAGAAAGAGATTGAGGTAGGTAGGACTGAGTCATATGCTTTGGAACAGTATAATTTTTAATTATACAGTGCTACCTTAGTTCAACATTGCTTCCTCACAGATTGATATTTCTATGAGCAAGGTATAGCAGGAAGGAAGGAATGGAGGAACAAAGGGAAAGGAAGAATGAAAAGAAAATAGGGCAAGTTCTCCAAAGATAATAACTGAGAAATTGGTTAGATGAGGAAGCCCGAAGCTAATATTTTAACCACATGAGTGTTACATAGAGAAGAAGGGGGAAAAAGCATTAGCCAATATATCAGAAAATAAAACTCAGAACAGACTGGAAGAAAAATAATGAAGAGAACAATTTTAAATAAAAGAGTGGGGCTTCTTACAAAAAGGAGCAGCAAAAGAAAATTAGTTAAAAATAAGAAGTTGGAGGGAAGGAGAGGAGAGATTTTTAACTAATCACTTAACTGAGCGGGGAAAGAAGAGGGGGGAAGAGGGAGAGAGAGAGATAATTAGGAAAAAGATGGTCAAATGAAGAGGGAGTGGAGTGAAGAACCTATGGGGACAGGCTAACATCAAAGCAATTTAAGTAAAACTAATTTCAGGGGGGAAAGTACTGACTTAGAAGAGCTAGGGGATTAAAAAAATGAAAGGAAATAGAATCTTTATAATTATAATGTTTAATGTAAATCTATTAAACAATCCAAAGAAATTAAAGAAAATAATGTAAGAAGATGTAAGAAAACCCACTAATATGGTGTTTGCAAAAAAAAAACAACCTAAAAAGTAATGGTACATTCAGAATTAAAATTAAGGGCTAGAACAAAATTTACTATACATCAGGTAAATTTCAAAAAAGCAAGAGTTGCAATGACACTATTAGATGAAAAAAATTGTAATATCAATAGGAGACTAAATTATGCTTAAAGGAACCATAGAAAATAAATTAATATCAATACTAAACCAATAAACATCAAATAGCAGATCAGCATCTAAATTTATAGGGGAAAAATGAACTTAATTATTTTATATATACATACACAAAAATAGTAGAACACTTTAATGTTACTTTTCCAGAGCTGGAAAAATCTAACAGAAATAACTTTAATATAAAATAAAGGTAAATTAGTCAGTTTGATCAAGAATTTAATCCATAATCTGGTACCTCCTTTACAAATAACTACTGATATAAGAGTATGACAAACATATATATATATATATATATATAACATACATATATATATATATATATACACATATGTATGTGTATGTAATTACAGACAGACAGATAGATATAGGAAACGTGTTATGAGAAATCTGGAGAAACCACTTCCAGCTAAGTGGGAGCCGAAGCGGGAGAAGTAAAAGACAACAATAACTATGAAGTCATGAGCTTGAAAGTGTGGCATGGAGGTAGCAACATCAATAAGGAAGCTTCACAGAGGAGGTGGCATCTGAGCTGGGCTTTGGATAGGAGGACAAAGGTTTCCAAAGATGTAGAAAAGGGAAAGTCCAGCCCAGGCATGTCAGATGGTATGAGCAAAGGTGCTAAGACAGAAGAGGATGGGATAATCAGTGTAATTCAGTTTGGCTCAAGTATAAAGCACTTAAAGGGAAAAAAATAGTATGATGTAAGGTTGGAAAGATGAACTGTGCCTGGCTGAGGAAGATTTAGAAAGCCAGGATCAGCAGTCCAAACTGTAATCGGTAGGGAATGGGAAGCCCCTGGAGGTTTTATGAATACAAGAGTGACATAATTACAACACAGGGCAGAGAAATAGGAAGATTTCTTGGGCTGCATTTGAAGGATGGGTTGAAGAAGGAGTTGGTGGTACTATTAACAGAAATAGATGTTGGGAGGAGGGGAAGCTGAAAGTAGGGGGAGATAATGAGTTTAATTTTGAATATTAGATATCCCTCACATATTATGTGGAGATAGGTGGCAATACAGCACAGGTGCTCTGGGGACAGGTTACAGGGAGATATATATTTGGGAGTCATCTCAACAGAGATGATGATGGAAGTTATTGGCGTATAGGGGATCCACAGGGGATAGCATAGAGGAGAAAGCCAAGGACAGAACCTTAGGTGCCACCTGTATTTAAGGAACAAGAAAAAGATGGGAAACCCTGTCATCTCCACTAGAAACATTTGTGATTCTAGATAGTTTTGAATGATGAAGTAGCTAATCAATCAAATTATTTATTAAGCTCCTACTATGTTCACTGTTCATATAAATTCATTGCTGGGAGCTAGGAACACAAAAACAAAAACATGAAGCAAACACTGCCCATCAGGAGCTGGGGTGGGGGGGAAATAGGTACATGCATATATGAAATATTTATATGTATACATACGTGTATATATAAATATACATAATAAAATCTATAAATTTGATAGTTTAAACAGCTTTAATAGTTATATATTGTGAATATTTGATTGCTATGTATATATGTATGTGTGTATGCTACTGAGATGCACACACATGCAGGCACACACACACTATTGGGGCAGCTAGGTGGCACAGTGCAGAGAGTCCTGGGACTGGAGTCAGGAAGACTCATCTTTCTGAGTTCAAATCCGGCCTCAGCCACTTACTAGTTGCATGACTTTCGGCAGTTTACTCACATGTAAAATGAGCTGAAGAAGGAAATGGCAAACCACTCCAGTACCTTTGGCAAGAAAACTCAAAACGCGGTCACAAAGAGTCAGGCATGACTGAAAACAACTGAACAATAAATATATACTATTAAAGCTAAATATAAGCTATCAAAACTTCAAATGACATTGGTACTTTTAGGAATCTATGTTCATAATATAAGGCAAATTTTAGAATAATAATAGTATAAGTTAACATTTACTTAGCATTTACTATGTGCTAGGCACTGTCTACAAACTTTACAATCATTATTTCATTTCTTGGATTAGTCTGTATGTTTTGATTAATAAAGTGTGATTGCCCACATCAGGAAGTCTAAGTCTCACGTGTTTCTGGTTATCCTAGTTAGCCTATGAACCGATATACTGGCTATAAGTATGCACCAAGTTACAAAACCCAACTCCACTGATTCCAAAGCCTCTACACCAGCCCTACCTCAGGATTTGCGATGCTTGTTAGTCCTTTGTTTTCAAAGAATACTAATGACATCATGAAGTGATGGGACGTCTTGATTCATGCTTGAATTGGATTTAAGTCAGGCAGAGTTGCACTTAGCCTCACTCTTCCAAAGTCATTGTGGTCCAATGGCAAGATGGTCAGGATGACTATGGCCCAGGATGTAGTGGATGACCTTGGCATCTTCAATATCTGACCAAGCTCTAGGTGTTTCAGTGGCTTTCATGGCCTTTGAAGCAAATTGTTCTTATTTGACCAGTCCAGCTGAGGAAGTCTTCACACGCTTGGGGGTAGACACTCCCCTGACTCACCAATGGGTTGGAGGCCTGTTGGTTAGCCTTAACCCAATTTAGCCTGTTGTTAAGATGGCCAAGGTGTGGCTGCTTTAAATGTCACAGCTTCTTGGAACCACAGGTGAGAGCTTAGGGCCAATGGACGCCAAAGGTGAATGAACAGCCCTGAAAAGGATGCAGCAAGTCCTCAAGCCAGAAGTGCTAGTCCTCCCTAAGCTGGGGCAATTGAGGCTGAGAACGGTGAGGTGCCTTGGCCAAGATGTCAGCAAGGTGACCACTGCTGACCTGGGATTCAAACCCCATGGCCTCTAACCTTCAAACCACTACACCAGCCCTACCACAATGTAGAAACCTGAAGCTGAGCCCCAATCCTCCCTAAACCCTGAACTAGCCCCAGAAGCAGGAGACCGCACAAGTGGGCATTGCGGAGCCCCAATCCTCATAACCGGCCCTGCCCCAAGCCAGCCCAAGGGGGGCACAAGGAGCATGCGCAGACTGGAAGCCGAGCCCCAAGTCCTCGTGTAGAGCTCTCCCCTGGCTTAGTCCGAGGAGCTTGTGGCAGCTCAGGAGGCGCCTAACGGGCGCATGCCCGGAGCGGGGGCGCATGCTCAGAGCCGGGGCGCATGCCCAGAGCTGAGAACCAGCACGCAGTCCTCCGTGTCCCCACGAGGTGGGGCCTCATTCCCTTGGCAACGCGCTGCCGTGGGGCGATACAGAAGGGGGAAATGCGCGGGGATAGGCGGTTGGGGGGTTGGGCCGGGGGAGACAGAGATGTCTCCGGGTGAGAGGGCTAAGCGGGGGCGGCTCGGGTCGGGGTGGGCCGCAGGGCAGTTAGGACTGAACGAGCATCCTCCGTTCCCTCCCCTCCTCCTCCCGGCCTCTCAGGGGTTTCTGCGGGAAGAGGCCCGAAAGGGGGGCGGCGGGCAGGCTGGGTGGGGGTGATCATGGGCCGTCGCCGCCCAGCCCCGGGACACCCTCGAGTGCCGACGGCGGCGGCCTGGCCTCCTGGGGCCCACTTCCGAGCCCGGCGTCGCTCCCCAGGTCCTTAGGACCGCGTGAGCCGCCCACCCGCCTGCCGGGGCGCCCCCTTCCGGACGGCAGGGCCCGCTGCTGCCGCTGTCCGTGCTGCCGGGCGGGCCCACAGCGCCCTCCAGTGGCGGCTTAGCGCGCTGGCTGCAGGGACTCCCCCACCCCACCTCCCCACCTCACCTCCCCCGCAGTGAAAGATGGTTTCGTTTTACGTAAAGCGCTCAGCAGACTGCGGTTCGGTTACAGAAAAGGGAAGTTGCGTTTCCTTTCCTTTCTGTGTCTAGGCTCCTAAATCATTCTGAGGGGGGAAAGGAGAGCAGTGGACAAACAAAAGGTAAAAGTCAGCCCTCCCTTGGCTTTTTTGAGGCCACACCCCCTCCCCAGTGTCTTTCCAAGGGGGCAGGAGCCGCTGTCAGCCTCCCACTTTCAGGATGGATGCTATGCATCCTTTCCACCTGGACCTCTTGGGAATTCCCAGTAAATCCACCCTGAAGCCAGGTAGGAATGGTCGAGGAAACAAGGTAATGAGTGCCTCCTCCCTTTCTTACCTGTCTTTGCCTGCTTTGAATAATCTGTCCTTTCATCAAGCAGCCTCAATTCCTTTAGGGACTTTTGTCATCAAGCAGCTCTTGTAAAGCACTGAACTTAAAACAAGTGTCCTTTGAGGGCCAGGACTCATAGTTTTTTGTTGTTTTTACCTTGGTACCCCTGCTGTCTCTTACATTAGCAGGACTGAGTGGGTTTCCCCCCAACCAAAGTACTTATTAGACTAACAGGCAATGGCTAGTAAGTATTTTCCCCCTTTTTATTTCCAATACCTATTAAACTGGTAGGCCAAGACTCCGTGTTTTGTTTTGGGGTTTCGTTGTTTGTTGTTTTGGGATTTTGTTGTTTGGTGGTTTCTTTTTTTACCTTGGTAACTCCCAATACCTGGTAGACTTATAGGCCCTTATAAGTGTATATTTAAGTGAGTTGAATCAAGAGGAATTAAATGGCCCACCCCGCTCTTTGCGTTTTTTGTGAGGATCTCTATGATACCTTTCCAGAGGTAACTTTCTAAAGCCTTTAGGTGAAGTACAACTTTCCTTCTCCACCTCCCCCCTCCCCCCAGCATCAGCAGCATTATGCACCAGTCTTGTCTTTGCTTTTCTTTGTGTCCCCAGTAAGTTTTCATAAAAATATCTTCAAGCGAGTTGGATCACGAGTGAATTAAATGGGCTACCTTACTCCTTACATCACGGAAAGGATCTTAATGACATCTCTCTAAACGCAGCTTTCCTAAAGTCTTAAGTGAAGTATAACTTACTCTCTGTTCCCACTTTTATTTGCATGACATTTGTCACAGATGGTGAATTAAATGCCTGAGTAGGGATCCTAGACTGCATTGGCATATCCCTAAGGAGCTCAAATTCATTTTTCTGGAGTGCTTAGTTAGTAGTTAAGAGCAGAAAGCAGAGATAAGAATTAACTATTTTCAAAAATAATTCTACCTTCTTGTGCCCAATGAGAGGCACAAAGATCTGAGTATTTCTGTGAATGTTTTCTTTGTCAGACACTGTTACTAATATAGTCAGCTTTTGCATTGGGAACCATAGATAATAAACAACACTTTCAGTCATGTCTGTAAAGTCAAACTCCCACATAGGCAAACATAGAGCATACCTGAAGGTAGAAGCCATAACAGTCTTTAATAGCATAGTTACAAAGTTGTTTTTTCTCATATTGTCTCCACAACTACCTAACACTTATTTACTACACTTGAAATATTAAGCAGTGATTGAAGAAGCAGCCAAGTACAGTGAAAAAAGTGCTGGATTTAGGATCAGTGCATGTGGGTTTACAACCTGACTGCTGCCTATTGCTTTGTGATACACTTTGGCAACTCATTTAACCTCTACGGACCTTAATTTCATCCTCTGTAAAATGATAAACTAGATCAGAGATTCTTATCCTAGGGTCCACAGGTGTGTGGAAATATTTCAAGGAGTCTGTGAACTTGGATGGGCAAAAATTTTATTTACACACACACACATACACATATATATGTATGTATATATATATATATATATAAAATATTTTCAAAAATCTTTGGTTCCCATGTAGTTTATTTTTTGGTTAAAAAAAATTATTCCAAGAATGGACCCACAGGCTTCACTAGACTGCTAAAGGGGTCCATGATAAAAATTAAGAACCTCTGGAATAAATGTTCTCCAATGCCCCTTCCAGCTCTGATTCTGTGGAATAGAGATGTTCCTTACCATAAGCAAATCTAAAAGAAAAATTTTAAAATATAATTTATATACTTGAATTCATAAGATTATTTACAATGTGATTCCTTTTAAAAAAAAATCTCTAACGCATTTAAAATGTGATTTTATTGACCTAACTTCAGTTTACACATGATTTTTCAGGAACTTATCAGTTTTACAAAGTAAAATTATTTTTTTCAGACTTGACTAATTTGAATTGGCCTTTCCTAAATTAGTCTAAATTAATGTTTTTAATATAATATGAAGTATTTAACTTGTTGAGACATCTGGTGGATTCAAGAAGATTTGATTTCAAAATCCAGCCTCAGACATTTACTAGCTTTGTGACCCTGGGCAAGTCACTTAATATCTGTTTGCCTTAGTTTGTGCAACTTTAAAATAGGTTAGAACTGTGAAACTCAACAACATGATTGTTGTGAGGATAAAATGACATGTGTAAAAACAATTAAAAATGTCTGGCACATGGCAGGCACTATATAAATGCTTATTCCCTTCCCCTAAAGTAAGACAATATTGAATAAAAACACAGAAGGCTTTCAGCATTCAAGACAGCATTTGTTCAAATTTTCCCTCAAATACTGATGATAAAAGGGAGAGGGATAGTGTGTATACATGTATCTCATTTCTCTTCCTTTTTCTCTTTCTTCTCTTTTTTCCAGTAGAGTAAATGCAGATAATAGATGGAGAGACATGGATAGTAGAATGGACTAGTCAAAACTGGGGAAACTGAATTGGTCTGGGAAAAGTTAATGTTTGCAAGTTTCCCATACTGCAACTATCTGTGCCTTTATCCTGCCCTTTGATTATCTGAAGTACCCTGTTCTACCATTCAAACAACATTTTCATTCTGTACTGACCCCCAAGAGTTATTTAATTAAATTATCCTATCCCATACCCTTAAAAAGTGAATTTTATTTCAGAAGAGGCTTTTTTTTAACCTCAAAGAATCTCTTGGTAGATTGGTAGAATTTTTCTCCCTAAACTTCCTAGACTGGGTAACTCACCGACTCCTTTTGTTTGTAGGCCATATAATCCGTCTTTCTACCTTTACCCAGTTTAGGAGGACACATGAAACATGAAATGGATTCAACAGTGGAAGCATACACCATCCACTATCTCCTTCATGTTTGTCGGGTGCTATACATATGCCATAAGGGTTCAATAAAAGTTATCTTTAAGAAAGAATGTTTGAGTCAGTAGAACAAAGTGTTTGAAACTTAACATCACAGAGGGTTTTCTGCACACTGTCCTGTGTCATTATAAATCATTAGCTTAAAAATAATTATATCTTCTGGGTTTATTAGGTACAAGGATTCCATCTCAGGATTTTCTGTTAGGGTTTAGAATCCTGGTGAAAAGCAGACAGCATACTCAGTCATGGAAAGAGTATTAAGATCTTAATGTTGATGAACATCATTAGGCATGTTAGTTCACTTAATGGTATTTGGGAGAGAGTAAGGGCATCTGAGAGTGTGTTTTAGGGCTTGGAAAGGGCAGATGTCCCCTGCCTGTACAGCCTGCTGGAGAAATTGCAAGACCATGAAAGCTTCTGCTAGTCTACTAGGTGCATGTTTAGCATGTAGTGACCCTGATGACAGTCTCTGATATCTCATGAGAGGAGTGATAGTCCCCTGATAGTCTAGTCTCTTCATGGGGGAAAGAGAGAAACCAATATACCAGAGCTTGGGGATGGGCATAGTTAGTGGCAAGCATCAAGGTGCTTAGGAGCATGTGTGAGTGGGTCTTTATCATTTTCTTTTTAACCTAAATATAAAAACACAGGGCTGTGACTCCACAGTCTTTGAAAAAAAAAACATTGAAATATTCCTGGCAGGGAAGAATTATACAAGAGAAGCAGTATTAAGGTTATCCTCAGAGTCCATGTAAACTGGAACAAAACTGGGCTGATATTGTAGGGCAGACAGACACCCAACACAAACTCTGCAGGATGTATAAGCACTGACAGACTGTGATCTGCAGCTCCTATGGGGAGCTCCCTGTCACTGGCATGGATCTTCTGACTTTCTGAAAGCTGCAAAATATTTTCTCTTCTTTTTCTCAAAATCTTCCCTGCACCAACCACCCCATTGTTTTCTGCTTTGTTTTCAACACATTAAATTTTATTTTTATTTTACAACTGTATATTTTCTCTAAATATGCTTTCTTAATAACCCCAGTTCATCCTTTTACATATGTATGTATATATACATGTATATACACATCTATATGTATATATACATATGTATATATCTCTATATATATGTATACATCTATATAGATCTATAGAGTTCTATCTTTTTTGTGTGCATGTTCTCTCCCCCATTCACTATGAACTGCATGAGGGCAGAAACTTGGGCGAGGGGAGTTGCCTTTATTTGTATCCCCAGCATTTAGCACTGTGCCTGGCATATCCACTTAATAAATGCTTGTTGATTTTTTTGTTCACCTTGTGTGCCATCTAGATTGTAAGTTTCTTAAGGGTAGAGACCATGTCCACTACTTCCCGACAATGTCTAGTATGGAGTTGTGCACGCGACTGAAAATGAAGAATGAATATTGCTTAAATATGTCTTAGGACTCTTTGAGATACTATGTGATCCCCAAGGGCTATTTTAGCAACAAAAGTCTATGATTGTTATCATGTATTCCTGAATACAGACATGCTTTCTCTAGGCAGAAGTAGGTGGCTTGTCTTTCTACAACTTGTGACACAGCTCTTGAAATCAATGAAAAGACTGAAACTTTAGAATGTTTTAAATATACCAAAAGAAATTGTTTAAAAGTTTGAGTTAGGTTTTCAAATTATTCTAGTTGTGTTTCTGTGATGTCTCCAATCCATTACTCATGTTAACAATTTATTGTCAAAATGAAATACTCCTAAAAACTCAAGTAGTTTTTCTTTGTTATGCTCTTTTAAAGCTGTAATACAAGAAGTATATTATGAATACCTACCATACACCTACCACTGGGCTCTTTATTCTCTCTTCAAGTTTATCATGATCCTTAGGTCATTCATTACAATATTCCCTGTCACACATGCAATGAAATACAGTGTAAGAGCTAGATTACAGTTTGTCATTTTTGCTTTGTAGAACATGCCTCTACAGCAGAAACAGAAAATCAAAACCAGACACAATCAGCATTAAAAGTGAGTCAATTTCACACTATAATTTCAAAACCCAATCTTTTTTCAAGATTTGCATTAAAAATGTTTGTAGATAGCTCTGTTTATATGTAATATTTTCTAATTTATTTTTTGCTTCAGACACATGGCAATCTTGATCTTGCCATCACTTGTAACTGTTCCACTTCTATGATTGTGAATACTGAACTTTATTTAATCATCTCTTCTCATTCATCTCTCCCTGTTCTTACTCCTAAACTTACTCTTGGTCCTTACCATGACTTCTCATCTCTGCACCTCTCAGTTTTTTACAGGATATGACCCCTATTCTGGCTACACTCTCCACCTTTCCTAATCCTATTTAGTGAACCAGTTCAATTCTACCTGTATTCTATTCTCAAATCACTTGCTCCACTATCCTACTGCCAATCACAGCTTGGTAATCCCTAATCCTGTAACAGCTCTACCATTTGCCTTCTCTACTCCTATTCCTGGGCTGCTGAATGGTGCTAGAAGTCATGCAGCCATCATCATTATTAGGTCCACCATAAATTTGTTATCTGAGCTCAAGACTGTGCCTTCATTGTAGCAAAGCAATCCTTCTGTTCCTCCCTAGTTGATCCCTATCCCATTCACCACAGTCTTTTTCAGACATTCCTTCTTCCAAACTCCCACACAACCTGTTTTCTTATTTCATGGTTGAAAACCTTGTCTCATGTTAGAGAAAAATGTAGTCATTATTTGAGCAATTTCTCTTTTTCCATCCTCACCTCACAACCCCTTGACTGGATCCACCACTATTTCCCTCTTTATTTGATAGCCCTTTTCCTTCTCAAGGCCAGACTCTCTCTCTGAGTGTATACCTTTGATCCCATCCACTCCCACCCTTTCCAGCAGATAGCTCCCTCTATCATTATCATTTTTTTTCTTTCTAATCTTCAGTCTGTTTACTGGCTCATTCTCTGCTCATTACAAACATATTTGTCTCCCCCACCCTCAAGAAAATCATATTAGATCCTACCATCCCCATTAGATAAAATCCTATATCTTTTCTTCATCTTCATCCAAACTCCTAAATAAAGCAGTTAACATTCAGTGCCTCTATTTCTGACTTTCTTAATGTTCTACAGTCTGAAATCATCACTGAGCTGAAACATCTTTCTCCTCTGCAACATTTGATACTGTTGTCCACTTTGTATACTCTTCCCATGTTTCCATGACACTGCTCTCTCTGTGGTTTCTTTTTTTCCCCCTACATGTCTGTCTATACCTTCTGATTCTTCTTTGCTGGATTATTGTCCATGTCACACCTGGTCATTGTAGGTGTTCTCCAAAGCTCTGTCTTGGGCCCTCTTCTCTTTTCTCTATACTCTTTCATGTGTGGTGATCTCTTCAGTGTATTTGAGCAGATGATTCTCAGATTTATATATCCTGAGCTCCAATCCCACTTCACAAACTACCTGGAACTGGATCTCCCACAGGTATCTTAAATTCCAAATGTACAAAACAGAAATCATGATCTTTCCTCACAAACCCGCCTCATTTTCAAACTTATCTGTCACTGTCAAGGGTACCATAATTCTTCTAGTCACTTACTTACACAACCTTGATGTCATCTTGGAATCTGTATTCTCATTCACCTCACATAGTTCATCAGTTGCCAAATCTTGTCATTTATATCTCCACAGTCTCTAATATACCTCCTTCTGTCTGTTCATGCAGCTACCACCTTCATTTAGGTCCTCACTATTAGCCTCCCACTGGAAGTGTCAGCCCTAAGTCTTCAGTCTGTTCTTCCCCTCACCCCCATCCAGCTTCCACACAATTGCCAGGGTGAATATATTCCTGCTGCTCCCCACTCCTTCTAGGATCAAATATAAACTACTCTGGCATTTGAAGCTCCTCAAAACCTTTCCCCATCTAACCTTTGCAATATTTCCCCTTACTGCCTTCCACACTTTCTATGGTCTAACCACACTGGCATATCTTTAATTGTTCCCATACAACACTCCATCACCTACCTGCCTCCAAGCCTAGAATGTTCTGCTCATTACTCCTGCCTCTTGGAGTCCCTAGTTGTCTTTGAGACTCAACTTAAGTAGCACTTAGACTGGGAGGCCTTTCCTAGCGACTCCTCCAAGGTTATTTGTATTTGATTTGCATTATTTTTTTGTATGATGTAAGTTCCTTAAGGACAGGGGTATTTTGTTTGTGTCTTTGTATTTCTGGTGCTAACCACAGGGCCTGACATACAGAAAGCCCTTAGCAAATGCTTAATGTTCAATTAATCATGGTTATGGAGTCCCAGTGGCCTGAGTGTTGTCCCTGACCCACCAACAAACAACTTTTAGCCCTGACTGATTTATCAGTATAAATGCTTCATAGAAATACTGCACAAGTAGATGATCAGTACAAATAGATGACTTCTGGCCCTAGAAAGTGTACTAGGCTTAGAGTCAGAAGAACCTGGATTTACATTCCAGCTCTGTTCTTCACTCCCAAGTGAACCTGAACTATTCACTTACCCTCAGAGAGACCCAGTTTCCTTGTTAAGTGAAGGGGTCGGACTAGATCACCTTAAAGCTCCCCTTTAGCTTCAAGTCTATGGTTTATATCTAGAAGAAATTTAATTTTGATCCACATTTTAATTAACTACAGGCCCTGCAACATCAACTGGAATCATTTCAAGCTCTTCGAATGCAAACTTTACAAAATGTTAGCATGGTATGTTTTTCCTATATTTTTTCCTAATTTTCTAAGTCCTGTATTATTATGTTCAGATGTAAAACATTGTGTCATACAGGGGGAACAGAGACCTGGATACAGAGTCCAGCTCTCCCTCTTACAACTTTATGACCCTGGGCAAGTCATCTAACTACTCTAAACCTCAGTTTTCTCATCTATACAATGGGTGGGGGAAGTTTAGACTAGGTAGCCTCTAAGACCCTTTGCAGCTCTAAATATGTCTTTCTCATTGTCTGAGCACATATGAGACCTTTCCAGCTTCTCAATGAGGTAATCATCAAGGTGGAAATGTATGTCCAAAATAAACTGTGGTATCTGGTGCCTATACTACAATTTTTGTCTTTAAATTTCTTGGTTACAATGAAATAGCTCTTATGTCACTTTTGAATTGAGAGCACAGATATTCCAGCATTTTGTTAAGAAAACAAAACACAACATGTTCATGATACTATCTTGGTCCTAATATCTCATTAAAGAGGGCATCAAAGACAGGCGATACTAGAATGCTTAGTTCAGTCCAGTGCTAAATTATGCTTTTAACATATTTATTCTAAAGCAGTAAAAACATTTTCTAAAAACTGGACATTCAGAAAATATTTGACTTAATAAAAATTTAACATTGTATAAATTGAGTCTTACTCATTTTGTAAACAAATCATTTAAGAGAAAAGTAACCTGGAAATGGCTTTGCAATTTATGTTCTTCCATATGAAGGGAATAGTTGTTTATGAACTACAATTTTAAAGATGCCTTTCAAAACTGTAATTATAAACAGTATTCTTGCATATCTATAATTGTCTGAATCTGAATTAAAACTCTAACATTTTCTATTTACCTTTTTAAGGTACAATCTGAAATTAGTGAAATATTGAATAAAAGTGTTATCAATGTAGAGAGTCCACAGTTTGGCACAGAAAAAGCAACCAAGAAACCTGTTGAGAAAGTTACAGTACGTTTTTACTTCAAATAATTTCTGTATACTTATTGGAACTTCAGAGAATTGTCTGCCAACATTGTTCCACTGGTCACTTTCACCTTGTTTCTCCCCTTAATAGAAAGAAGAAACTGTCAGAATATCATATAAGGACAGTCAAGGCCAAAAGACCTTAAAGCAGGTGAGTCCATTCTTAGGTATGACCTTGCCAGCCCAGAGGATCTGAACTGATTTTTATCTGAGTGGAAAGGAACTCTAGAAATGAATCCTATAATCAACTGACAGTGCTACTATATGCAAGGCATGGTGCTGCATATTAGGGATGTAAAGACAAAACAGTTCTTGCCTTAAAGGAGTTTACTGAGAGAACTTATTTGAGAGTTTTCCCAATCTGAAGGTTTGTTTACAGATCTTCTGTATTCTTTCTGGAGGTCCTAACCCCCTTGCAATTAAGAAATAAAACCTTAGCCTATTCTTGAGCCATGGTATTTGTTATATCTTGGCATACAGGTAGGGAAAACAGCCTGTCAAATATGTGACTGAGTCTAATGAGAATTTCGGTCATGAGTAGATACCCAGGGCATTTCCAAACCCTAATGTGGTAATAATCTTCTACAACCGTGTTGTTGTTGTTGAGTAATTTCAGTGGTGTCCAACTCTTCATGACCCCATTTGGGGTTTTCTTGGCAAAGATACTGGAGTGATTTGCCATTTCCTTCTCCACTCATTTTACATATGAGGAACTGAAGCAAACAAGGTTAAGTGACTTGTCCAGGGTCACACAGCTAGTGTCTGAAACTGGATTTGAACTCAGGTCCTTTTGATTCCAGGGCTGGTCCTCTATCTACTCTGCCACCTAACTGTACTTCTATGACTGTAGTATCCGTCAAGGTCAGCAGCTGGCAGTTTCATTTAACAGTTTTCATTAATCTCAGTCATAGATTTGACCAGCTGCTTTTATAACTAGATGTAAAAAAAAAAAACAACAACAAACCATGACCTATGAAGCCCAGTCATATTTCCCAAACTGAAAGTTTGTAACCTCATAGGGAATAAAGAGGATTTGAAGTAAAAGCCTTTTTTAAAATCAGAATTTTAGAGTTCTAAACAAAAAGCTGGTGGTGGAGGGGCAGCTAGAAGGTGCAGTGGATAGAGCACCAGCCCTGGGGTTAGGAGGACCTGATTTCAAATCTGGCCTCAGACACTTACTAGCTGTGTGACCCTGGGCAAGTCACTTGACCCCAATTGCCCCCCCCAAAAAAAAACTGGTAGTGGGAGTGGCAAACTCTAAGCTATTCAAAGTTAGCTGGCCTCTGCTTCCTGGAAACACTCTCCTAATTTTCATTTCCTTTATTGCCTTTAATGTTGAGTATGATGCCAATTGGGAGCAAAGATTGTCTCTACAGATACAAAAGTAAAATATTTCCAAGGACAAATTGTAACAGTTATTTTCAATCAATTCAGTTTATGTGGTATATCTAAATGGTGGCATAATCTGAGCACCTAGTACTTCCAGGTTTCCAATGATGGCTCTACAGTATAACTAGAATGTTCTGATCTGTTTGACAAAAAAGCAATATTAAGAGTAGTCCTTGGAGCCTTTGTGTATGTAAACACAGGCAAAATTGAGGGGTTTGATTTGTTGGGGTGTGTGTGTGTGTGTGTGTGTGTGTGTGTGTGTGTGTGTGTGTGTGTGTGTGTGTGTGTGTGTGTGTGTGTATAAGCATAGCTATCACCTGAATAATTCACACAAGGTGTAAGAAACCCCAAGTGAAAAATCTGGAAATTACTCCACAAGTAGCTTTCAATTTACTCTCAACTGCTATTAAGTCAATAATAATTATTTTCAGCCTTTGAGACTCCATAAAACATTTCATTTACATAGACGGTCCACTTCAGTTAAGCACAAAGTTGCAGGAATTATCTACTACTAAAAATCAATCACTCAAATTATTGAGATTTATTTGGCTCTCATTTGTATTGGAAAAAATGGAAAAACAAAGCAGATAGATCTATGGCAAAGTAGAAGATTGCCTCTACCCATTTTTTTCTCTGTCTATAAATGTAAATACAATGTAGACCCTGCATTTTGCTAGCAGTCTTTTTCAAATCAAAGATTTGGTTTTCTCATCATTTTACTTCTGAAACCAAACATTTTAGTTATGTTATTGTGCAGAATTGTTAAGGAATGAGTAATAGATGAAAAAGATTAAGGATTGCTGTCCTAAATAATTCGAATCAGAAATTCAGCATTTACTCAGTGCCTACTACTATGTTCAAAGCATTGACAGTACAAAAATAAAGTGATAGATTACTTGCCTTCAAGAAAGTTGCATTCTACTTGGAGGAAATGACACACATATAAATAAAGGCAATAAAGGAAAGATTGAGAGAGAATATTTGGGGGCAGGGGCCCTATGAGGGAAAAATGAGAATGTTTTCACCTACACAGTCAGACAAAGCTTCAGGGAGGAGGAAGTCCTAGGCTCTTGAAAGGCAGAGATGAGTCAGTATTGAAGTTCAGGGATGGCTGGCCTGTGAAAACACACTAAGATAATACATATAGTACCTCAGTCTGTGGGGAACAGCTAGCTAGTAATTCAGTTTGGCTGGAATATCAAGGGATATGGAGGAGAATAACATGAAATATAGTTGGAAAGGTAAGTTGAAATTGAATTATGGAGGAGTTGGAGCTGAGGATTTGTATTCTATGGGCAATAAAGAACAACTGAACTTTTTTGAGGAGGGAAGTAACAAGATCAGCCTTAGGAAGATTATTTTTTCAGCTATGTGAAAGATTAGAGAGGGAAGAGCCTGGAGACAGGGAGACCACTTAAGAAGCAATTATAGGAGTCTGGATAAAAGGTGATGAAGGCCTAACTTTGAGTGGCGGCATCATTAGTGATGTAGGGTTGGATAAAAGAAATATGGAAAAATTGAATGATTTGATATCAGATTTAAAAGAGGGCTCAATGACAGAGAAGGAAAAGTCATCAGATGACTTGGAGGTTGCAAGGCTGGATGAAGCTACCAACAGAAATGGGGAGGCTGGGAAGTTTAAGGAAGATGATGTTGGACAAACTGAGTTTAAGGTGCCAGCAGGACATCAAGCAAGTGGAGATGCAAAATTCCATATCCTTTTTCACATCTCTAATGTTTTAGGACTTGTACTGATCAAAACTATTTCCTTAAACCCAACTCTTTATTACACTTCAATTTAAATTAGTTTCCTCTTCTTAGTTTCATACAAAATAGAAATCGGATAGTCATCATTCTTCTTTAAGGAAATTTTTTGTAGGTGAAAAAAATTTAGGGCATCATTGAAACTTCCCTTTTTTATACCAATCCTAAATAATTTTCTCTTTCCTCCTTCTGTTTTCTTCATCACTCACATTTATATAGTGCATTAAGCTTTGCAGGGCATCTTGGCAACAGCCCTGGGGCATGGGTGTTATTTCTTATCCCCATTTTAAAGAGAAAGAAACTGAAGCTCAGAAAAATTATGTGACTTGTTCAGAGCTACACAGCTAGTCTAATGCACAAAGTGAACCCAGCTTCAAAGCAGCACTCTGCTTACTGTATGTTGTTTCTTGTGGTTGTCATTATCGTCATCTAGTAGCAAATATCAATTCACATAGTAGACACCAAACATTCCTTCTTTCCTAGGCAAGCAGTTATTCCCATTGCTCTTCTCTACACTCACATTCCCCATGTCTTTCTAAAATGTGGCATCAAAGGCAAACACAATAATAACAATCCATTCCACTTAGCTGTAGTGAGAGACAATTAAGATTAATCAGGCAACAGTCAACTTATCCTTCTGTGCTTTAGGATTTTCCAAAACAAACAAACAAGCGGGCAAGGAGAGTTTCTATTGTTCGAAGGAAATGCTTGACCTTTCCTGTTTTCTGGTTCCCCTTATTAGCTGGAGAACATTTTCTAGTGGACAGAGAATTTGCAGGGTGTTTTGAGTGAAAGAAAGGGAGATAGTTTGCCTTATATGAAGTGGGAAGCTATCTGAATCAGAGCGTACAGCATGAAGGTAATAATGGTTTTTTGTTTGTCAGTAAACTATTAAGATGTACACAAAAATTAAGCCTCCATAACATTGTTCTTTACCTTTCCTAGGTGAGTTATATCACCTTTCCATTAGGCTTTTATGCTATAAAAATAGAATTGAGGAATTGGATAAGAGACTGTATTTGTTTTCCAACAAATTCCTCACAAGAGATTGTCATGCAACAAATGATAGCCCTTCATAGCATGCTTTTTCTGTCAGTCTACAGAGAATACAGAAGAAACCCCTTCTAAGGAGAAAATTAATCTTTTTGAGGAGTCCAGCACTAGACATTCTGTGGGGGAAAAATCCAATTCTGTCGCTGGCAATAGCGTCTCCCAAGGTGTAACTACTCCATCCCAGGTTACTTCCAAGAACATATCACCTTTGAAAAATCAAACAAATAGATCGACTTCAAGCCCAAATATGAGCACTTTAGAAAAATCAAACTTACTCAAGAATTGCAGTGACTCTTATACTTTTCAACCTTACATAAATAAAAATCTGTCTTCTGCCAATACAGCTTTACCAACTGAATATAAAAATACCATGCTTTTTTTCAAAGAAGAATTTGGTGGAAACTTAGAAGATGTTTGCCATTCTATCAAAAAAATGAAAAATGAGCTTCAAAGATCACATGAAAGGGAACTGGCTCTTGCAAATGAACTTCATATGCTAAAGATAGCTACAGATGCTCAAGGTAATGGTTCAAATATCCCATTTTCTTCAAAATTAGGAAAAAATGACTCTATTAAGAAAGAAAATATAGATAGTGAATTAAATGAGGAGACAAAATCAACCAGAATTTCAGAATTAGAGGCATTAGTAAACAAACTGATTCCACTAGGGGAAACAATGTCAAAATTTTGTACTAATTATTGTCAGAACTGTCAAAGCTTATCTGAGAATGACCCTACAGCAGATTTTAACCATATCACTACACAAAATGAAGTAAAGAGTGAGGAAAATAATAGGGAAATTCCTAACCCTGACATTATTAAATATTTAGAATTGGATTCCAGCAACCCAAAAGATACATCATCATTAATTGACCAAACAGAACGTGAAATGAAAGATAAAGAAAAGCAACTATTTGAGTTATACCAAGGATCACTAAAGCTTGAAAATGAGAAATCATCAAAAATCAACCCTGTAACTGATCAGTATGTTGCAAAAATTCAGTATTTACAGAATTATCTAAAAGAATCTATGGAAGTACAGAAGAAAGTACTAGGACTGGAAAATGAAAATCTTGACCTAAAGACAAAAATAAAACCCATGGTTTTTATCATACAGTTCTGATGCAGAAAAATTCAACATATCAAAATCAACTTAAAGATTTGGTTGAAGAAAAGAAAATCATTCAGGCTAACTTAAGTAAAGCAGAAGAAGATAATAAAGAATGTATTATTGAACTGAAACGAATAATACAGAAGTATACTGAACTCCAAAATGTAAATAAAATTCTAGAAGAAAAAAATGGCCAACTCTGTTTGGAGATACAACACATGATTGACTTAATAAATCAGTTAAAAATTAAAGAAGAGAAAACACAAAGTGATATGGTTCTTGTCAGTCATGAAGTGAATCGACTGACAGCAGAACTAGAATCTCTGAAAACAAGTAATTCAGTGTTACAAAAGGATAAACAGATGCTGGAAAGAAAAGCATGCCAACTTCAAAAAGAAAACAGCTCACTTGAACATGAACTAAAAGGAAGTCATTTGGAGATACTGCAACTAAAAGAAAAAGAGAGATTAACCAAATCTGATCAAGAGTCTCTTCTTCAAATGATACAGACTGCTAAAAATGAAAAGCTTAATCTTGAAGTCACATTACAGGAATCTACAGCTGCCAGACATATAATAGAGAAAGAGGTTGAAAAAATCCATTCCTACCAATGTGATGCAAAAGAGAAATTTCAAGCAGAACTTCAAAATGCAAAATCCAAAGTCAGCTTTTTTAAGAATGCCATGACTGAAATGGGCAAGGAATGTGAGAAATTATCCAAAATAGTCAAGGGTCTTCAGTCAGATAATCAAGTACTAAAAGAAGAATTAAAGAAACATACTCAAGAAAATCTAAAATTTGCAAAAAACATCAGTAGGCTAACTGAAGACAAGCTGCTTTTAGAAAACTATTTAAGAACATTAGAAAATGAAAGGGATAGTTTGCAATTTGAAGTGCAGCGTCAGCGAGATTACTTTACCTCAGGTAAAGTATTTTCAAATAAACATCATGAGATGATTCAACTGACTTACAAAGCAAGAAATGAGCATTGTCATTTTGATGACTAGTGATAACTTATGAAAAATTTAATTTCAGGAATAACATTTTAGAGCATGATCTATAAGGTATGTATGTTGTATTGGGTTACTATAGTTACATTTAAGTTTGATTTATGAAATTGAGTTTTAATTTAGAGTAATAACAATAACATTGGATTACAAAGTGCTTTATAGACTAAGCACTGGATAAACATCATCTAATATGATCCTAACAACAGCAGGACTTATTCCTGTTTTGCAGATGAGATAATTGAGGCTGAGAGTAGTTCAGCAACCTGCCCAAGATTACATGGTAATATTTGGCAGAACTCAGACTCTGATCCTGCTGCATTGTGCTCCTCCACTAACATAAGAGGACAATTTCTAGATGAGGGCAATTTAATATTTGAAGAATTAGCTTAATGTATAGTACATTAATTTAATACTTTTACTATTCTGATCAAATCCATGTTACTTTACTTACACCATATATATGCAAAAAATCTTTGGGATGTTACATGTAGGTTTTTTTTTCTTTAAATTGTCCTAAAATGTAATTTCTAGAGAACTCCCACTTTAAAAGAAAACTCTTTTTTTTCCTCCCAGGCATATCACCTAAACTGCATCACTCTCATCCTTGCAAGAAATGTTAATAAATATTTGTGACCAATAAAAAAAAAAACTTTTGTCTATGTTCTTTGTTCCCCCAATAAATTTAGTCAAATTAAATTTTGGGGTTTTTTTGGGTTTTTTTATAGTAATTAATTTTTCCAATTATATGAACAGGCAATTTTTAACATTCATTTTTACAAAATTTTGAGTTCCAAATTTTTCTCCCTCCTTCCTTCTTGTCTCCTCTTCCTAAAACAGTAAGCAATTTGATATAGGTTATATATATGCAATCATGTAAAACATATGTCCATATTAATCAGGTTGTGAAAGCAGAAACAGACCAAAAGAAAAAAAAAATAAAGTGAAAACAGTATGCTTTGATCTGTATTCATCGAGTCCATCAGTTCTTTCTCCAAATGTGGATAGCATTTTCCATCATGAGTCCTTTGGAATTATCTTGGATTATTGGATTATTGAAAGAGCTAAAGCATTCATAGTTGATAATCACATCATGTTGCTGTTACTGTGTACAATGTTCTCCTGGTTCTGCTCACTTCCATTTGCATCAGTTCATGTGAGTCTTTCTAGGTTTTTCTAAAACCTGCCTGTGGTATTTAATTACATTCATATGCCTCAACTTGTTCAGCCATTCCCCAATGGATGGGCATCCTTTCAATTTCTTTTTTGCCATCAGAAAAAGAGATGCTACAAATATTTTTGTAACTGTAGGTCCTTTTCTCTTTATTATGATCTCTTTGGGATATAGACCTAATAGTGGTACTGCTGGATCAAAGGGTATGCACAGTTTGGTTGCCCTTTGAGCATAGTTCCAAATTGCTCTCCAGAATGGTTAGATCAGTTCACAACTCCACCAACAATGCATTAGTGTCCCAATTTTCCCACATCCTCTCCAATGTTTATCATTTTCCTTTTCTGTCATATTAGCCAATTTGATAGGTGTTAGGTGGTACCTCAGAGTTGTTTTAATTTGTATTTCTCTAATTAAAAATGATTTAGAGCATTTCTTCATATTACTATAGATAGCTTTGATTTCTTTATCTGGAAACTGCCTGTTCATATCATTTGACCATTTATCAATTGGTGAATGGCTTGTGTTCTTATAAATTTCACTCAGTTCTCCATATATTTGAGAAATAAGGCTTTTATCAGAGACACTTTCTAAAGATTATTTCCCAGCTTTCTACTTTCCTTCTAATTTTGGTTGCATTGGTTTTGTTTGTACAAAAAGCTTTTTAATTTAATCAAAATTATCTATTTCATATTTTGTAGTGCTCTCTATTTCTTGTTTGATTATGTATTCTTTACTTCTCCAAAGAGCTGACAACTTAACTACTTCTTGCTTTCTTAATTTGCTTATGGTATCTTTATGTGTAAATTCATGTATCCAGAAGATGGCAGGATAAAGGGAAGGATTTGCCTGAGCTCTCCCCCAAACCCCTCCAAATACCTTAGCAGTAGAACCCACAAAAAGACAGAGTGAAACCAATTTCCAGCCCAAGACAACCAGGAAGGTTGACAGAAAAGATCTGTTGCACCAGGCTGAGAGAGGAGCTCAGTCCAGGCCCCAGCAAACCTGGAGTAGTCCTCAGGGGACTGAATCACTGGCAGCAGTGGTGGTTTGCAGACTTCTCAGTCCACATTGACCAAAGACAACTTACAAGGTCATCAGAAAAGATCTGTCAGACTTAGGTGAGAGAGGAGCACAGTCCAGCATAGGCCGCACCAGCACAGTCCCAGTCCCAGCAAACCAAGAGCAGGCCTTGGGAGTGACCGAATCAGCAGCTGCAGTGGCAGTGGCTGCTTCTGGAGCTCTCAGCCCACAGATGGAAAGGAGATCAAACAAATGGTCAGAAGGAGATTACAGGGGTCTCTTTGCTAGCACTGAGGTAGGACTCTGTTGCTTTGCCCATACTTGGATCTGGGTTGCAGTCCTGGGGCAAGGAGGAGCACCAGCATGGCAGAACTTGTGGCAGCAGTGCAGAGAGAACCCTCTTCACAGTTCCCAGGGAAGAAAAGAGTGCTTGTGATCACTCACAGAGCACAGGCCAGGAGAGGTGTAAACACCTCTCCTTAGATCATACCACCTTGGAAGAACTGAAAACATATAGATCCCTAGAAGTATCTCTGAAAATAGCTTCACAAAACCTCTAAAGCTTGGGACAGTGTGCCTTCTACCCTAGAAGCAGAACCCTACCTTAACAAAGAGTTGAAAAGTCAAGTAATAGGCTGAGAAAGTGAGCAAACAACAAAAAAAACCTCGTGATTATAAAAAGTTACTTTGGTGACAAGGAAGATCAAAACATACACTCAGAAGAAGACAACAAAGTCAAAGCTCCTACATCCAAAGCCTCCAAGAAAAATATGAATTGGTCTCAGGTAATGGAAGAGCTCAAAAGGGATTTTGAAAATCAAATAAGAGAAGTAGAGGGAAAATTGGGAAGAGAAATGAGAGTGATACGAGAAAATCATGAAAAACAAGTCAACAGCTTGGTTAAAGAAGACCCCCCAAAAATGAAGAAAATAACACCTTAAAAAACAGACTAGACCAAATGACAAAAGAGGTCCAAAAAACCAATGAGGAGAAGAATGCCTTAAAAAGCAGAATTGGCCAAATGGAAAAGGAGGTGCAGAAGCTCACTGAAGAATATAATTCCTTAAAAATTAGAATGGAGCAAATGGAAGCTAATGACTCTATGAGAAATCAAGAAATTATAAAACAAAACCAAAAGAATGAAAATTATAAGACAATGTGAAATATCTCATTGGAAAAACAACTGACCTGGAAATACATCCAGGAGAGATAATTTTAAAATTACTGGACTACCTGAAAGTCATGATCAAAAAAAGAGCCTAGACATCATCTTTCAAGAAATTATCAAGGAAAACTGCCCTGATATTCTAGAACCAGAGGGTAAAATGGAAATTGAAAGAATCCACCAATTACCTCCTGGAAGAGATCCCAAAATGAAAACCCATCAAGTTCCAGAGTTCCCAGGTCAAGGAGAAAATATCGTAAGCAGCCAGAAAGAAACAATTCAAGTATTGTGGAGCCACAATCAGGATAACATAAGATTTAGTAGCTTCTACATTAAAGGATCAGAGGGCTTGGAATATGATAAGAATATTGTATTCAAAGGAGCGAGGTTTAAAACCAAGAATAACCTGCCCAGCAAAACAATTCATCTAGAAGAACAAAAGGTCAAGTATATCAAGGGAATCAACAAAAAAGTGAAGGAAAGTGGCCTATTCAGTACCAAATTTCAAACCATACTAAAAAGCAGTAATCATCAAAACAATCTGGTACTAGCAAAGAAATAGAGTGATTGATCAGTGCAAGAGATTAGGTACACAGTATACAGAAGTAAATGACCACACTTCAGAATCTAGTGTTTGATAAACCCAAATATCTAAGTTTTTGAGGCAGGAACTCACTACTCATTAAAAATTGCTGGGAAAGCTGGAAAGCAGTCTAGCAGAAACTAGGGACAGAACAACAATTCATACCATATACCAAGGTAAGGTCAAAATGAATGCAAAACTTAGACATAAAGGGTAATATGGGGCAAATTAGGGAGCATGGAAAAAACTACCTGTCAGACTTATGGATTAGGAAAGCGTTTATGACCAAACAAGATAGAAAAGATCACAAGAGGTAAAATGGATAATTTTGATTACATGAAATTAAAAGGCTTTCGCAGAACAAAACCAATGCAGCTAAAATTAGAATGAAACAGGAAACTGGGAAAACATTTTTTATAGCAAGTTTCTTCGAGGTAACTGAGCCAAATTTATTTTTAAAAAAAGTAGTTCAATGGTCAAAGGACATGAACAGTTTTCAGAAGAAAGCAAAGCTATCAATGAAAAAATGTTTTTAAGTCACAAATATTTAGAGAAATGTAAATTAAGACAACCTCATGCCTATCAGATTGGCCAATGTGACAGAAAAGGTAAGTGACATTTTGGAAGGGATGTGGAAAAACAGGTACATTAATGCAATGTTGGAATTGTGAACTGGTCCAAACACTGGAGAATAATTTGGAACTATCCTGAAAGTGCTTTCAAGCTGTGTGAAATACCACTACTAGGTCTATATCCCAAAGAGATCAAAGAAAAACGAAAAGGATCCATATGTACAAAAATATTTGTGTAAGCTCTTCTTGTAATGGCAAAGAATTGGAAATTGAGGGGGAGTAACTAAACAAGTTATGGTATATGATTGTGGTGGACTATTATTGTGCTGTAAGAAATGACAAAGGGAAAAAAAAGAAATGACAAAGGGGATGGTTTCAGAAAAAACTAAGAAGTCTTATGAACTGATACAAAGTGAAGTGAGAAGAACCAGGAGAACACTGTACACATTAACAATGATATTGTAACAATAAATCAATTGTTAAACACATAGTTACTCTGATCCACAATTCCAAAGTACTCATGATGAAAAATGCTGTCTACCTCCAGAGAGTTGAATTGATGAACTCTGAGTGACACTTGAAGCATATTTTTTTCACTTTACTTTTCTTGATTTGGGCGAGTGGGGAGTTGGGTGGGGAAGGAGGACCATGGTTAATATGGAAATGTGTTTTTTTATGACTTCACATATATAATAAGTATCATATTGCTTGCCTTTTCAATGTGTGCGGAAGGTACTGGAGGGAGGAAGAGAATTTGTAACTCAGAATTTAAAAATAAATGTTTAAATTGTTTTTTAAAGAAACACACAAAAAGATTTACAGAGTTAAGAGTTTAAAGTAGAATCTATTTTGCCACAAGTGAACCCTCCCAAAAAACAGAGCTGGCAGTCATGATCTCAGACAAGGCCACAGTACAGAGAGACATGGTTAAAAGAGATAAGCAAGGAAACAGCATTACATTTAAGTATTAGATATTAGATAATATAGATATCACCATAGATAATATTAATACTACACACACACACACACACACACACAAGCATTTTATCTTAATATCTTAAGTAAAAGCCAAATAAACAACACAGAGAAGTGGACAGCAACACAAAAATTGTTGGGGATCTTGAGGAATTGCTTTAAGATTCAGACATATCTAATACAAAGGCAAACAAGGAAGAGGTTAAGGATCTGAATATAAATTTTAAAAAGTTAGATATGACAGACTTAGGAAATACTGAATGGGAATCATAGGCAATACACATTTCACAGGTTTATATGGCACCTTCACACTGTGGGCATCAAATGAGATATATGTAAAGTGCTTTACAAACCTTAAAGCATTATATAAATGTTATTATTATTATTTTGAAACACCTCATACAGCAAGATAGGCTGTGATTTCATAGTACAATGAGGTCAAGGGCCATAATTACAACTCTCAAGTTTTAAGATTTACACATGAACTCTCAAATAGCTTTAGCAAAGCGATGCTGTGCTTTGCAGTTTGGAGCCTTCTCGCTGCTAGATAGGCTTTCAGTTTAGGAAAGAAACATTGCTGAATGGCTAAATCATAGAGAAGACAGGTCTTCCATTTACATGCTTCAATTAAGTAGGTTTTTCCCAAATGTTTTCTCCCCAATAGGCCCAAACATTTGCTTTAAAATAACTACTGTTAAATTTCAAAGCACACTTTAGTGTTGTTTATTGCTATCTGTATAGGAGTCCCTTAAAGAAGCATACACTGGGAGAAGGGGGAAGGGAGAGGTAGAGTGGGATAAATTATCACACAAAAAAGAGGTATGAAAGAGGAGAGGTGAAGATGGGGGGGGGTTGGCAGGCAATACCTGAATCTTCCTTATGTTAACCATAGGTTCTTTGAAGTTGACTGGTCACTTGATTGATCAGAATTCTAATGTCTTTTTTTTAAACTGGGTCTCCCTACCTGGCCCAGATGAAAGTACAGTGGCCACTTATTGGCCCAACTGGTAAGAAAGCTTTAGCCTCTTTTTTTCCCAACGTGGATTTCCCTTTCTTAACCTGGTGGCATTCCACTCGTGGAGGCTTAGCATATTGGTTATGGAATTGAGATTGACTTTATCCTTACTGAAGTTCAGAACACCAACCTTAGCCTCCCCCAATTGCAGGGATAACAGGTGTGTGCTACAACTCCTGGTCTCTAACATCTTTTAATTCTGTTTTTCCTTTACATTATAGTCATTGTATAAATTATTTGCATGGTTCTTCTCACTCTCTGCATTTACAAGTCTTCCCAACTTTCTCTGAATTCTTTACAATTTCTTAAGATGGAATATATACTATTACATTTACATGCAAGAATTTGTTTAGTCATTTCTTGATTGATTGGTACCAATTATTTCTCCAGTTTTCAGTTGCTACAAAAATTGCTACTATAAATATCTTTGGACAAATGGAGCCTTCCCTTCTGTCTTTGGCCTTTTGGGCTATGTGTCCATTAGTAGTATACTGGGAAAAGGCATATGTAAGATCTAATAACTTTCCTAGTATAGTTTCCAATTATTTTCCTTAATGGCTGAACAGCTGAACCCACCAAACATCAGTGTGCCTGGATTTGTCATTTCTCACCTTTGCCAATCTAATGGTATATGGCAAAAATTTTAGAGTTGTTTTCGTTTGCATTTCTCTTATTAATAATTTAGAGCATTCCTTACAGTTGATGATAGTTTACATTTTTTCTTTTGAAAATGGTTTGTCAGCCTTGGAGTCAGGAGGACCCGAGTTCAAATGTGACCTCAGACATTTGGCACTTAACTAGTTGTGTGACCCTGGGCAAGTCACTTAACCCCACTGCCTCACCAAAAAGCAAAAACAAAACAAACAAAAGAAAATGCCTTTGCATATTCTTTGACTACTCCCCTACTGAGGAATGATGCTTGTTCTAGTATATTTATATCAGTTCCCTATATATCCCGTGTAGCAAGTCTTAGAGATAAATATTTTCCCCCTAATTATCAGTTTTCTTATTTTAGCTGCATTAATTTTGTTCATCTAAAGGATTTTTTTTTAGAAAAAAAAGTTTAACAAAAATTATGTATTTTCTTTTCAGTGATCATTTTCATCCTTGTTTGAGAATTCTCCCTCTAGCCATAGTGGTAAGAGGTATCTCCTTCAATTCTTACTCAGTTCCATGATGGATCCTTTTATATTTAGGTCTTGTATCCAGCTGGGGCTTATTGGAGTATGTGGTATAGGATATTTGTCTAAACTTCATTTTTGCCAAACTACTTTCCAGTCTTCCCAGCAGTCCTTATTGATTAAGAACTTGTTTGTATTTTGTATTTTGCTTACCTAAGTCTGTTCCTTTGACCAAGGATCTCCCTACCTGTAGATTTTGTTTTTAACCAGCACCAAATATTTTTTTATGATTACTATTTTATAATATAGTGTGAGGTAGAGAAGTTCAAGTCCCCACTCATTCCTACTTTTAAAAATTATCTCCTTTGAGAACTTGACATTTCCTTCCTCCAGGTGAGTTTTGTTATTATTTTGCATAAATCAATAAAGTAACCTGCTGGGTAATTTTATTGGCATAGAGGTAAATCTATTAATTAATTTAGATAATATCGTTATTTTCATTATATTGACACAGCCCAATGCCTATATAGGAAAATGATATCTCTAATTATTAGGAAGTTTTTCCTTACCCCAAGAATGTTTTTATCCATTTTCAACACTCCTAATTTTGCTTTCTGAGGCCAAGTTTGACTTTATCAATGTCCTTCCTAAAATGTGGGATTCAGAACTGAACGCATTAAATACAACTAATGTTGTGTGACCTATCTCTGTCCAGTGAGTCCTGAATAGTTAGGCCTCTCTCTTAATGCAAATTCAAGTCACATTATTTTTTGCACAGATATTGAGCTTGTTTCACTAAGATCTTTTTCAGATGAACTACTATCTAGCCTTGTCTCCTTCATCTTTTATTTGTGAAGTTGGTATTTTGAACCCAAGCCTAAGACTTTACATTTATGCCTGTTAAAATTCATCTGATTAGATTCTGCCCAAGGTTCAGGATGTTGAAGTCTTTTTGGATCTTGATTTTTTCACATATTTCAGATATCCTTCCTAGCTTCTTGTCATGCAAATTTGATAAGCCCTCCATCTACACTTTTAGCTAAGTCATTGATAGAAATACCCGGGGGTCACGCACAAATGCCTAGGTCACTCCACTAGAGCCCTCCTTCCAAGTGAACATTAAACATTACTCATTGGATCTGGCCATTCACCAAGTTCCAAATTCTTTTAAACATACAGCTATCTAGCTGTCTCTATATTCTCCACAAGAATAACACAGGAGACTGTCAAATGCCTTGCAGAAATCAAGGTCAACTACCTATAGACTTCTGATTTACTAGTCTTGCCAGTCACGGCAATGAAGCCATGCTGGCTTTATGGTCTGCTTTCTTTTATGAATGTTCAATAACCATCCTTTTAATAATACATTCTGGAATTCTGCCAAGAATTACAGTATAGCTCAATTGCTTTCTCTACATCTATGTTGTTTCTTCCTCGTTTTGGACAAGATGATATTTGCCTTTCTCTACTCCTGCAACTCTACAGCTGGTCTCTCTGTGCCTATCTTTCCTGAGGTAACTGACATTGGCTCAGCAATTATATCCACCAGTTCTTTCAGTACCCTGGGATATAACTTCAGTTATAAAGTTTAGTTATAAAGATATAGCTGGTGCCTTGAATTCGTGAAAAGCAATAAATTGCTGTATTAACATGTCCCTAATTATCTTCCATTTCAACTCTGATGAGCCATTTCTGGCTTGTCCTTTCCAGCCTAAAGGTCATTTTCCTTGGCAGAGAAACCAAGCAAAATACAGGTTGAGTAGTTCCATCTTTTCTCTGCCATTTATCCCCTTTGCCCTAAGCAGAAGTCCAATCCCTTCTTTTTTTTTCAGAAAAACTTAAAAAGACACCCAAGAAGCCAGAGCAATAGAAATGCAAGTCATTGTGTGGCCAACTGAATGAATGGTCTTTTCCTGGTCCTGGGACTTCATCCTGTATCACTGAGACTAGGGGGAATGGGATATACACAACTAAGCAGAGTAAAATTTTACTTCTACAAGATTCTAATGAAAAAGCATTTTACTGATAAGGGTACATGATCAAAAAGTTGGGAGTCCCCTAGTCTAGCGATTCAGCTGAGTTTCCAGCTTTTTTCCAAACTGTTTGTTTAGAACCCACAAATCTCGATGGGCCTAATGTAAAGGGGTTATTCAAATTGCCTGAGACTGATTCCTGTACCATTTAGACTAGAGAGAAAAGGACTACACATCCCAAACAGAATAACTTACAGCGATTTTGTACACTAATGAGCCTCTCCATCCTTAGCTAGCTTGGTACTTGAGCCATCAGACACAAAATGTAGCTGCAGCTCTTCTCAATATTTTTCTAGCTTAGTAGAGCCTGTCAGAACACGTATTTTACTGGTTTAGCCTTTGAGAACCCAAGATTATCTCCATGCCATAAAATCACATTGAAGTATAACTCTTATAGCAGAAGACACATGTAAACTATGCAAATTTAAATAATTTACTCAATTAAATGCAAAAATACATACCTAAAGTCATGGAACTACATGACAGGGTGGAATCATCTAATCTTTACTCTTTATAAACTCTTAACCTTTGAGAAGGCATTTAAAAATTCTATTCTTGAACATTTTCAGGAAAGAAGAGCAAAACATAAGGCTTAAATTTTTTTTTACATTAATTTCTCAACTCGGAGTAAAAGCTTGAAAATTCTGAACTTCAAAATGTATAAATGTGGCTAAGATGTCGAAATAACAAAAATAAATAGAACAAATCATGCTAACCACAGTGAATCATTCATACTATTTAATTATAAAAAATTTCTTCAAGACATTAAAATAATAAAAGATTAAAATTTGTCTCATATATCTGAATTGCCACTTCCAGAAACATTCTGTAATGTTATTTTATTTAAAAATGACTGCTAAAGAATTACTGACACTTAGGTGATCAGAGGAAGTTTCTTCTCTCAGGTACTAGTAGGACTGTACAGATGCAGTCAGGTAATTCTTTGAATTTAATGACCTAAAATTGGAGAAAAAGAAATTTAATTTTTAAATACATGCAGGTCATATCAACAGATACACTTTTTTAACTGAAAAATATTTTCAAGTTTTCAATCTAATTTCAAGTTTTCTACATTTTTGATGACAAATGTATTCCACCAAATTCAAAACAAACTATTTTATCTTCACTGTGTAAAGCCAATTAATTAGAAAAAAAAATGAAAGCCTATTTTAGGCTTTAAGAACACAAATTTTGGACTATAGATTCTAATGCTATTGTTTTGGGATTTACTAACTTAAAATGTTTTTTAAAATACATAATTCTAGGTTGGCAAAATGTTCATAAAATCTTGAAATCAAACAGAATTCAGTGAGCTGAAAATGATGACAGTGTGGTATGACAGAAAGAGCACAGCAACCTGGAAGACCTGGGTTTGAGCTCTGGACTGCAGCTTAAAAGTATCATGAGGAAGTATCAACTTCCTCATTTTTAAAATAAGAATAATCCTATTTGTAGTGCCTACCTTACAGGGTTGTGCTTTGTAAACATATATAATATATAAGCATATATATGTGTATGTGTGTGTATTGTGCTTTGTTTGGGTTTTTTTTGCTTTTAGGCAATTGGGGTTAAGTGACTTGCCCAGGGTCACACAGCTAGGAAATGTCAAGTGTTTGGTCTGAGGCTGGATTTGAAGTCCTCCTGACTTCAGGGCCAGTGCTCTATCCACTGCGCCACCTAGCTGCCCCATGTAATGTGCTTTGTAAGCATATATAATTAACAGCATATGTAAGCTGCTTATTTATTTGATTTGATAGCTAATTAAAACAGAAAATAAATTTCTTACTTTCCAGAGAGCAGGCAACAACCTCCTCCCCCCACACGGATAACATAGTCAGTGTGTCTCCATAATGTTTTGTTTCTCAAGATTAAAGAACAACAACAACAACAAAAATAGTCTTGTTTTTGTTTTGCTTTGCTTTGTTCTACTTTGGAAAAAGCATTACCAATTTAACTGCCTATTCTGTTTTATGAAGAAGAAAATTTCGGCTGAGGGAGACCAATTTGTCACCTATCAAAGAACAACGGAGTGAAATTCCAGGATTCCCCACTTTCTTACTAAGGCTACGTGGTCTCTCTTCTATAGAGACAGTAACCAAGTCACAAGTGGATTGGATTCTGAAAGTTTGTTAACAGAATCAAGAGCTGACAGGGAGCTCAAATATTCAAATGTTTGAAAAGCTATCTCATGGAAGCGGGTTTGCCAGATCCCAGAGAAAAGGACTAGCAGCCATGGACAAAAGTTGCAAAGACAGAAATTTGGCATCATATGAAACAAAACATCCTAAAATTCAAACTGGAATGAGCTGCCTTAGGAGGGACTGGGTTCCTTCCAAGGCTGTGCTGGTAATGTTTAACAACAGGCTTTCAAAAAAAAAAAAGCTATGTTACATTTGTTTTGGGCTTTAGTTCTGACATTAAATTTACAAGGTCATGCCACACAAAGGATTATAGATTTAGAGCTGGAAAGGACCTCAGAAGCCATGTAGTCCAATGCTCTTCATTTTACAGTTCAGGAAACTTGAGGCCTAGGGAGATTAAATGACATGTCTGAAATCACACAGCTACTAACCATCAGGGAGAGGATTTGAACCTAGGTCCTCTTTTGTATTCATACTTAGTTGCCTATCCTTTCTTCCACATTCTCTCTTTTGGACATCAACTAGTTGATGCTCTGTTGCCGCCACATTAGTCTCATTAGATAGTTCTACTTCATTTGTACTTGTGTTATCAGAATTCTGTTCTCAAAAAATCTGCCTTCCCTCTTGAGCCATTTTTCCTGGAAAGCACAGGCTGGAGTGCAGAACCTATAGCCTCGAGGCCACATGTGGACCTCTAGGTCTTCAAGTGTGGCCCTTTGACTGAATCTAAACTTCCCCTTAATAAAAGGATTTGTTCTGTAAAACTTGGACTCAGTCACACCAGGTCTCAAGGCTGAAGCTTCCCCACCTCTGGCCTAGGCCATGATATCAAATCTGTTCTTTCTCTGCACACTTTGAAATCTGTTTTCACTAAATTCAAGGAATGTGCCAATTGTGCCATCCTAACAATAGCTGACATTTTCCTAGCATTCAAATTTCATAAAATTTCTAATGTTTACTTTACTACGATGTAATTTAATCCACACAGCAACTCTGTCTAGAAGATAATGCAGAGATTATTAATCCCCTTTTGACCAAGAATCTAGAGCAGGGCTTCTTAAACTTCTTCCACTCCTGACCCTTCAGTGCTTCTTAAACTGTGGGTGGCAATGACACATGGGGTCACAACCTACATATTTAAGAAGTGCTATTCTAGAGCACAGAAAGAGGTAAGGTGATTTGTTTATGGCCATTGGGCTAATGCATATTAGGAGCAAGATTTGAATTCAGATCTCACTTCTAAGTCCCAGCACTTTGCCCTCCTTCCAGCATACTGCTTCTCTATTCTATCACAAACTTTAAAATGGCATGGTTATTTCCTTCCAAGATGACACTTCTCCTTATTGTCTAGAAGAAGATCCAGAACAGCTTTTCTCTCTGATGTACTGTCCACCTTTGGAAGGATGGAATGATTAGTTTGGTTACATCACAGTAACAATGAAAATGATGTCACAGAATATAGAATTCCTTTGGATTGGTTAGGTTAATGGCCACAGACTATATGGCTCAATTAATGCCCTAGAAGCAATGTTGAAAATGTATGGATTCTCTCAAAAACTGGTTGCTGGTTTTCAATAATGTAGCCATAAAGAGTTGTGAAGAGCATCTCTAATTAACCCATTTATATGCAATCTGATCACAATAAAGACCAGTCAAAATAATGACTGTCATCAACAAACAATTCAAATGCGTATCTTCTTGCACCATTTCTTTATGTGAAAGAAAGCATTATTTTTATTATGTTAACCTAATTTTTGAATACTAGCTATCCTCATGAAAAACTTAAAATTAAGACCCACCACCCTCCATGGTAGAGTGAGAGCGCAGGATTTGTGGTCAGAGAACCTAATTTCAAATCCCAGTTCTGCCATTTCCAAACCGTGAGACTCCTGGTTATTAGTCTTTTCACCTAGAAAAGTTAGGCCTCATTTGTGAACTGATAGGGTGGGACTAGATGACCTATGATCCGAAGACCAGATTTGATGCATTTATTACAACTGAGACAGGAGCATAAGAATGGGGTTTGGGTCCCAGACAGTGTTGTTCAGTTGCTCAGTCGTTTAAGTGTGTCCAACTCTTTGTGACCCCTTTTGGGGGTTTTCTTGGCAAAGATACTGGAATGGTTTGCCATTTCCTTCTCCAGCTCATTTTACAGATGAGGAAACTGAGGCAAATAGGGTTAAGTAATTTGCCCAGGGTCACACAGCTAGTAAGTGTCTGAGGCCACATTTGAACTCATGAAGACAAGTCTTCCTGGACTCCAGCCCTGGTACTCTATCCACTAGGCCACCTATCTGCTCCCACCCCACATGGTAGAAGGGCTATTTTCGTGGTGTAGGGGAAAGAGAATTGCATTTGGAGTCACAGGACTTTTGTGACCTTGGGGAAATTTCAAGCTCCTTGGGACTCTGTTTCTTTGTCTGTGAAATCATAAAATAGTTGTAGTCTAAGGGCCCTTTCAGCTTTAAACCCTATGAGTCCATAAAATAAACAGGCAGAAAGAGGGAAGAAGATAAATAATCTAACTTCTTGAGAGATAGCTTCTACAAAATTCAGAAATTTGAACACTGAAGGACCTACCTCTTTGCTGTGTTAAATTTTCAACACATTAAGTTGATTTTTTGGAAACCTAACCATGAAGAGATGAACAGTACCACTAATCAATCTATCTCTAATGCTGTGTTTTCATGGAAAATTATTACAGAGGTACAGATGGAAAATTCAGTTTTGTACTTTTCACATTATTCATGACTGACAGTTTCTTAGAACAAAGCTCAATATTTACACTTGAACAGTAATTATACCTTGCTTGGCTATAGAAAGCCTTTAACAAATGACAATAAAATGTTTTTACTTTGCCCTAAAATCACAGCTAGGAAAGAAGAATAGTTTAGTAGAGTGAACTTCATCTCAACCAATCAAGGATTCCAAGACAATGAACAGGTCTAACTTTTGTAGGGGGTGGGGTGCAAGAATGGGGATTTTAAGGTGGCAAAGATCTTTCACCCATCCTTTTCAGCACAAGAGGAAAATCATCATTAAGAGACTATACAACATGAACATTCTGAGGAAACCTTAAAAACAATTTAGTGTGGACTAACGAGTTAAATATTCACTCAAGTCCTATTCTGTGCTTCATCACAACATGGAAGGGACCCTCGGTTGTCAAAGGCTATGGCAGCAGGAATGTGAGCTCTGACAGGTTCTATCAGGCTGGAAAGGGACCTGGCAACTGAGCATTTGTCTGCTGTCCAAGAATCAGTTTAGATAAGTACATAATCAGGGTGGTGACACAGAGGTGAACTGTTTGGCTAAGCATATTCTGAAGATGGTCTACTAGGTTTTAAGAAGATTGCAGTCTGCATGGGTGGGCATAAGCAAACCAATTAAATTACAGTTCAAGGAAGGACTGAAGTGAACTTGAATGAAAAAGCTCTACTTAGAGAGGCAGCTGAGGCATAGTGACGGAGAGGTAGTCTAGTAGTCAGGAAGACCTGGATTCAAGTCCTACCTTTGATTCCTATGTAAATTTACTTGACCTCTCAGTGCCCAAATTTTTTAAACTGAAAAGTTGCAGAAAAGGGATTGATTTCATCAGTAGATAAGTTTCCTTACCCAGACTTCTACCAATGAAATCGCAAGTTCAATCCAAAAGAAACCAAAGCAAAAAATAAAAAGCTATACTTGCTTTTTGACGTTGGCAGACATTATACTTGAAACTGGCCGGGTCTTTGGTCCACTGCTTGGATGGAAAATCCTTTCTGGTTTAGCAACACTTTTATCCCCAATTTTCTTCCCATATTGGTCATTGATATATGGAGGGAAAGGGTCAAATGTTCCTGCTTTCATACCACCTGCCTATGAATAAAAGTTTTAGATATAAAAACATTTTACAAATGTTCAGAATGCAATTGTCCTTATACATAGTCGGGGCACACTAAATAGAATTAAGGTGCCCCACCAAATGACTACAGATACTCACTTTATCACCAGCTGCATTATAAACTCTTTCCTTTTGGTCAAGGAATTGCAGCTCAGGAAGTCCACTATTAAAATACTTTTCTGACACTTCAATGGATCTATGATTTCACTAATGTGATTTCTACCTCCAAGGGTAGAGACTGCAAACCACTAATGCCTTTCTCGTCCTGTGGGAATCTGATCCATATCTTCCCTTCTATCCTTCACAGAATCCAATATGCTAGATCCCTTCATCTAGATCTCTTGACCTTGCCTGGATACAAGTGTAGCACATGGGAAGGGAGTAAGCATTTATTAAGCAGGTACTATGTTCCAGGCCCCATGCTAAGCACTCTACAAATGTTATCTCATCTATTGTGCCATCTGTTATCCTTCTCTCTCACTAGGTGATTGGGCTCCCTGTTTTTTGGGTCATGTGTGTCTTTGACAATGCTCTTTATGCCTTTCTTGGTAATAAGTTGCAGTATACTCACAACCTACTATGTAGCTATTCCACTGCCCTATGGGCAACCCACAACTTTAATTCTTTGGAGGCCATGGCATTCCATGACTTCTGTTAAAAAAAAAAAAAGAAAGAAAAAGAAAAAGAAAAAGAAAGAATGGTCCTCATATTAGAGAGAAGCCTGAAGGCATTAAGAGCACTTTGTAATTTTCCAAATAAAACGAGCAGAGTTTTTTCCTCCTGTTCACTTTTACATCTAGTTTAGTCTCTGTTTATGGTATCAGCCCAAGGTACCATATGTGACAGACCATATCTATGAGATGTTCATCCACTTATAGGCATTCTTTGTTCAGTGGTTTCTTTCTTGTATGTATAGTTAGGCTGAATTTTTTATCTCATTTAGGAAACTGCAGTGTTACAGAGGAAAAACGCTAGATTTGTAGTCAAAGGACCTTAGTTCAAATCCTGTCTTTGCCCCTCATAACCTCTGTGACCTCAGATAAGACACATAACATCTCAAGGCCTTGGTTTTCTCATCTGCAAAATGAAAGACCTCTTTCAGTTCTAAAGCTATGAACTTCAGTGATCTCTGATTTGTAAACAGCAGCATCTTGAGAGCCTTACCATCTATAGGGAACATCTCTTCCATCTGAACACTCTACTATCCAGGATGGTAGCAAACAATGTTAATACGTTCTTCATGAGTTTACAACTAATTGAAGGATTTGTTGAAAAAAGTGATCTCTATTGCCATATCTTTTAAGGAATCTTGAATGATTTTGAATCAATGTTGGCCCTTGGCAACTATACCTTTCCACTTTTCACAGAAATCAAATGTATACTGCCTACAGTAGTTTATAAGCTATTTTTGTATCCTTGTCATGGCAACTGAGTTAAACTTCCTAAGGAAACACTGAGAATCTATATCAATGTCTTTTTTAAAAAAATATCTCTCAGTTTAGGAATATCAATAACTTGTTTGTGTAGATCTGTCTACAAATGGTATATTCTCTTATTTTGATTTTCTTCTAATTTGATTTTGATTTAGAAATAATTCTTATATCATTAGCCAATAAACTCCTGTCAGAATATAATCAATTTCATTTTTTGGATGGTATTTAATCCTTGCCTTTCTGACTCTCTTTTTTGAGTAAAGTATTCATGATATGTAGGCATGAAGTTTCTATACATTTCTCTCATTTCTTACTCCTAAACAATGTTTTCCAATATATTTGTCACCATCATCCCCCTTGGCCTAACTTTGTACTGAAGTAATTGAATATTAAAATGTATATGGATTTAATTTGGAAAAACTTTTTGAGTTCTTCCCAGAATTCATCTATTTCCTCATTCTTTACTACACATGCTGGCACATAAGCTACAATTATTTTCATGGTAATCTTTTTTACAAGAGTTTATCATGGCCACTGCAGTACAAAATGACCAAGTATTTCTTTTTGCCTTTGGGTAGACAATAAAACCAGCTGCTAATTCCTTCATTTGCCTAAGAAACATTGAGCCATCTCTCTATTCAGGAAAACTTCCATTTGTCTCCCAGTTTCAGAAACAGTGAGAATGTCATGGTAAATATGATTCAGGTGCAAATAATTATAGGGCCAGGGACCGGACCTATGATTTCATTGGTATGGGGGATATCCTGGTGAGGAAACTCTCTCTGAAGCAGACTGGCACCTTCTCCTGCAACTTACAGTCTTAGAGAGCTCCCTAGAGCTGGGAAGGTAAGGGCCTTTCCCAGGAGCATACAGCTAATATGTGTCAGGGGCAGGACTTGAAACTGGATGTCTTTGGTTTCAAGGCCAGCTCTCTAACCACTAGAATATAGACACTAATACAGTAAGCCACAATCAGTCGTTGACAACTTGGTACGGATTGGTTTCAGAAAGTCAGTCATCTAAGTAAGGCCTTGAGGAAACTGGGAAAAAGACAAATGTAGTTTGGCCAGAAGGGTGAAAACTAGGTCCAGAGGATGAAGTGTTGTCCTAAAAGTACAAGGGGAAAAGGGGTGCCATAGGGAATGGTTTATAGGCCACACAGTAATTCTTGCAAAGATTTGGGGTAGGTGAATGCTACAAAGAGGAAAGAGGGAATAGAAGAGAAGTTGAAAGTAAAGGAGACAAATTTCACTTGCTTAGTATAAGTCAATCCAAACATAAGCCAATACCTACACAAATAACTGACTAAATTTTTCACTCACTGGATTGGACATATTGGCTTCATTGTGTATAAAATCATCCAAGGTAATTCTATGAGATCATAAGATCACAGAATTAGAGCTGGCAGGAACCTTAGAGATCAGTGAGGTCAGTCCCTCATGACAGTTCAGTCCTTCTGACTAATGTAACCAGGTACCCTTTCTCTGGCAATGAAATCGACATGATAGTTTTGCTACAGAAATATCTGGTCTGGATAAGTTATCAGTTTTCTAAAATAAATACAGAAATTACTAATCAAGCTAGTATGCTGGAACTGGGATATGGGTTTTAATGGGCTACTTTGAATTTTAAAGAATGTAAAAAAACATCAATGTTTTTTAATTTCTTGGTCACTCTTAGAAAGAAAAAAATAAAAACTAAAGGATTTAAGGGGGCTTCTACAACACACAAAATTAATATTTTTACAAACATTATAGAATAAATAATATGACTGGTAGAAACCCTGAACATCATTTACTTCATCCACCTGCTTTCCAAAGGATTGCATCTAAACCATGCCAAACAGACGGCTGTCTATTCTTTTACTGCAGTCTTCAGGAGAGTAGACCTACTATTTTCTGATATATACATCAATTTATACATATTTCTGTTGTTTCACTCCTTATTGGAAATGAGGAATATCTCGCAGTCATACACCCAATATTTCACTGTATTCATTTAAACTATACCAAATTTCTTTCGCCTTAACCATTTCTTTTGAATTCTACCTGCTGCAATAGTATCTAACCTATTTCTTATTTTTCCTTGACTGGCTTATCTGTAACTATAAATTTACCTTTTTAGGAGGAGAAGATGGCTTGAAAGGACTTCCAATTGCTTTTAGCTGCTCTGGTTTCTTAAGTGGTGGCAGAATTTTGTCAAAGGAATAAGGATTACTGTCAAAATAATCTTTTGGAAAGAGATTTAACTTGAAAGGTGTTCCTTTAATTAACCGATGGTGATCTTCGTTCTGTTTCTGTAAATTAAGTAGTGGTAAAAGTTTATAAATTTGGAATTTCCCTTCACAAATTATTAAGATCAGAAGAAAAGCACCTTGGATTCAAGGTTAAGTACAAGGGTTGGTTTGGTTTTTTTTTTTTGACAAGTTAACTTAGTTAAAAAACTTCCTATCAGTCTAGACCAGAGGTCCTCAGAGTGTGGTGCAGGGCCCTCTCAGGGTTCCCAAGTCCCTTGATCCACAATGTCAAAACTATTTTCACAAAAATACTATAATATCATAATTCCAGGACATTTTAATTTCTAATATAGTAAATGTCAATAGCTATACACACAAACAATAGCTCTTTGGGGGGGGAGGTCCTCAGTAATTTTTAAGAACATAAAGAAAATAAACAAAAACTTTGGGAACTACTGATCTAGACTATAATAGTGGAAAGGACCTCAGAGTCCAATGAGTTCAAGTTTGATCTGATCAGTAATTATCTCAAAAATATCAGTGACAAGTGGTCATCCAGTCTTTACTCAAACATCTTCAAAGTGTTAAACTCAGTCTTACAGGGAAGTCCTTTCTATGCTTTGAAAACTCATGATTGTTTTTTTCTTGTATTAAGTTGATCTCTGTGTCCCTAAAGCTTCCATCCACTGATTCTAGTTCTGCTTCTAGGGAGGGCATGACAACCATGTCCAATAGCTTTTCCACCTGACTTGAAGAGAGAGCTACCACGTTAAAGAACCTAACAAAATTTCAGAGTTGGAAGGAAGCTCAGTAACTATGTGGTCCAATGCATACTTAAAAAGAATTTTTACTTTCTACTTCTGTTCTCCCTACGATATACCCAACATATGGTCTTTGCTTAAAGACCTCCAAAGAAGGGGAAGCCACCAACTCCTGAGGCAACCTGTTCCATTCTTGGATAGCTCTAATTGTCAGGAAATTTCTCCGTGTATCAAGTCTAATTTTGCCTTTTTTCAAGTTCTACACTTTTTTCCTAGCTCTGTCTTCCTGAGTCAGAGCAGAACAAGTCCAATCATTCTTCTACATGACAATCCTTCAAATGTTTGAAAACAGCTATCAAATCTCCCCCTAAGCCTTCTCCTCTTCAGGCTAATCATCCCCAGTTCCTTCAACCATTCCTTATATGAAATGAACTCAAGGCTTTTTACCATCCTAGCTATTCTTCTCTAGGCACCCTCCCTCATAGCAATGGCCTTAAAATGTCACCAGACCCAAACACAACACTCCAGATGTGACTGACCAGGGTAGAATATGAAGGGACAATGACCTCCTTATTCCTGGATGCTTGCCTCTTAATGCAACTTAAGATTATATTAGTTTGGTTTTTTTTGACTATCATATTACCCTTCTGACTCAAATTGAGCTTTGCAGTCAACAAAAATACCCATGATTTATTTCAGTTGAAATGCTGTCTAGCCATGACTTTCATATCCTATGCTGAAGTGTATTTTTTAACTCAAGTCTAAGAGTCAACATTTCTCTCCTTTAAATTCCATCATAATTCGATTCAACCCATCATTCTAGCATGTCAAGATCTTTTTGGATCTCAGTGTTGTTATCTAGTTGGATGCTATCCCTCTCAACTTTGAGTCATTGGCAAAGTTGACAATAATTGCAGATATACTTTCATCTTATTCAATAACAAAAAATGCTGACAAAGATAAAGTCTTGTAGCACTCCACTAGACTTTTCCCTTGGGGCTTGTATCTTTCTATTAATCTCTTTAAGAAACCTCTTTCTGTTTTGGAGCTACTCATTTAGCTGGTTCTGAATCCATCTCCATTTTGGAGGTGAACATATTTCTCCATCTTGACTACTGAGGTAACACGAAAACCTGTTAAGTGCTTCACTGAAATCTAGGTATACCATGCCTATGGTATCCCCTTGTTTGACTCTGACAAAATAAAACAAAATTAGGTTAGTCTGGTATGACTTGCTATTAATGAATCACCTAGGTTCTTAATGATTCCTGCTTCCCTTTCTAAAGGCTTACTTATAAATCCCTTTACTAAATGTGTTCTCGAATCTTGACAGGAATTGAAGTAAAGATCAATGGCCGATAATGACTCTACCTTCTTCCATTTTTTGAAAATCCTTTGTCCTTCCTGGTCTTGCTGTACTTTTCCCATTCTTAAAGGTCTTTCAAAGATCACCAACAACAGCTCCACAATCAGCTTTGCCTGTTCTGGTGACTTAATCTCACTGAAAGTAGCTAGGAGTTCTCTTACTGTCTCTTTTCATCTTTGCTTTCAACAACCAGCTGAACATTTTGCTTCTATCCTTCTCAGTGCAAAAGCAATCAATAAAGTAGAGAGATAACTGGAGTTCAAAGACTAGGAGAAAGTAGGTACATAATTAAATCTAATTAGATAACTGGATTCTAGCTTTCAGAATGGCTGCTGATTGGGTTAGGACATAGAAGAAATGTGCCAATTTGCAATCAAAGGCAGTTTAGCAGATGGTTTCCTTGTGCCTTTTGGAAAACCAACCTATAAATATTCACACTCAACACAGCTACAAAGGTTTAACAAAAAAATTACCAAAAGCAAGACAAAGGATTAAGGATCTTGCTTTAAGCAGGTTTGGAAGGCAAAGATCTACAGAAAGTATGCTGCTATGACCAAATAATAAGTTATGTTTGCACAAGGTGCAAATTGGTCTCCAGTCTGAAAAATGTGAAAGTGCTGGAGGAACACATCTCTATCCTCCAGATTATTGGAAGGATGGAAGTGGTTTTCTTTAAGACTGGAAGAAATGCTTCAAAGAGAAGAAAATGGATATGAAGAAGAGGAGGGAATCCTACCCTATGTCAGGAAACTGGAGAATGTCACATACAGAAAAAGGGAAGAAGGACCATTGGATATTTGAAGGTAAGTAATAGAAGCTCTTCTGGTAAGATGGGGGAGTGGTACCACCTGCTCCAAGGAATGATAATATATTTCCACAGGTACCATCTAGTAATAGTTAGACGACAGGACACTTTGTGGCAACTGGTGACTTCCTGCTTAGAGACTTGCTGAGATAGCTATTTGTAGCCCTGACATAAACAACTAGAGAGGTCTGCTGTTTGGCTGGGGCATGTTTTGAGGATATGATAAGCAGCCTCTACTACCACAAGGAACAGAGAAAACACTGTTAAATGTTGTGAAGTCCTAGAGCAAAAACTGAGGATGTTAAAAGTGGTATTTTCATTACACTTCTAACTGAAGGTAAGGGGATTCAGGAGAGAGAGGCTGATTCGTGAAGTTAATAGAAAGCTAATTAGATGTAGAATGGGAGGAGATCTAGACTTCTTACTCTTATAAGCTCCATGGCACTTTGGACCTTTTCCTAGTATAGGAATTCTTCATTAGAAAAGTTAATGAAAATAAAGATGATTTTTTTTCCCCTATCCAACTTCAAAGACCCCCTGAAATCTTTTCATTGACCTCTTTGCAGTCTGTGGACTACTGGTTAAATATACTTATCCTAATGCTTATCCTCTTCCGCTTTGTATTATACCCATTTCTGCACATCTTAGCTCCCCTACTAGATTCTAAGTTCTAAGAAAGTAGGGACTATGTTTTACACTTCTTTTTTATCCCTCCATAACGTCCAGCATGGAGAAGGCACTCAAATTTGTTTAATGAAATGGAATAAATGAATGACTATGCCAATTTAAGGATTAACTGGATTCTGAACTTGATTAAAGGGTTCTAAGTAGAGGAAGATGGAACATCTGAACAAAGATACAGGAACTCAGGCGCAATTGTAATATTAATCAGAATAAGATGATGTTCTTTTCTAAGACAAAATAGAACTACTATTGTATGCCATTTAGCAAAGTCAGAACGTAAAATTAAAAAAATCTTGCTACAGAGAGACTAAAGCACACCAAGTCCTTTAAATTCAGTAATGAAAAAGCATTTATTAATCCACTAATAAAATTACATTTATGGAAATAATAGGTTATTGTAATCCAACCTGAAAAGTACCACTCTGAGGTACTAGGTGATGCAGTGGACCTAGGGTCAGGAAGACCCGAGTTCAAATCCAGCACAGATACTTGCAAGCTGTGTTACCCTGGGCAAGTCACTTCACCTCTGTCTGGCTCAATCTCCTTAAGTATAAGATGAAGATAATAGTACTTACCCCCTAGGGTCCTTATGAAATCAAATGAAGTAATATTTGTAAAGTGTTTAGCACAGTGCCTGGCACACAGTAGGAACTTAGTGTTTATTCCCTTCCCCACTTTGTAGGAATATTTTGTGTAAACGTTGTAGTTCATCTGCATAAAAAGAAATGTTAATAATCCTCACGTGGCCAAATGGATCTGCCCAAGTTTCTTGGGATTGCTGCCTCTGATCTTGGTTATGTCTGCCAAATATTGATCTCATTGCCTTTCAGGGTTATTGCAGCAACATACTATGAAGCATTCCTGTATAGTCCTGTAGCACTATACAGTTCACAATGGGTACAGTGCTTGGTTAATTCCATGAAGCTTAAGTCAAAGGCAACTTTACATTTTCACTACCACCAATTTCTCTAAATACTCTGACAGAGCAGTCCATTCTGAATGGCCCTACGTGGTTTGCTCAAGTAGGGTAAGGCTCCATCCTTTCATTCATAGGGAAGGCTATCTGCAAATGGTCCTATTTCTGCAAAAGAGTCACTACATTTTAAAAAAGGAATCTAATAGGATATATGCTGACATCATGACTATATTATATTTTAATGTACAAACATTAAATAAACTGTCAAGTGTTTCTCCCACCTCTCTTTCCCATGGGTATAATCTGTCTTCTTCTACCCATGTCACTTCAATATACAGTACTGGTAGCAACTACCTGAGCTTCTTTGATAGTTCCTAGATAGAGGTGGGTACAAGGAGGGCCAAAACTGGGGGAAGTGGGGGGTGTAACACAGAAGTGACAGGACCAGTGGTTGACCAGGGCTTAGAGTGGAGTTAGAAAGTTTCAAGTATAGCATGGAGTAAAATCCGATCCTTCGAAAGGATGGAAAAAAATAAAAGTTTGATAAGGATCATAGGGGCAAAGGATTTTAGAGACACAAAGTACCTGAAAGATCATCTCGTCTGAATTTCTCAATTTACACAGCAGAAAATGAAGACCAGAAAATGACCTTTAAGGTCACACAGGTAGCAAATGGCAGAGCCAGGACTGGAAGGCAGATCTTCTCACCTAATTCTACCTGTTGGCTGAAAATGAGCTAGAGAGTGAAAAAGGGTTTTTTGTTTTTTGCATAACTGGATGCCCGTCAATCAATGAGAATCTGTCTCTTATTGTCCAAGAACACACAGATGGACATAAAATGTATCTAGCAAAATATAACTTACAAGGGTAAAAATACTGTGAGGATATGAAGCTAAACAAGATACACCTGGAAGAAAGGAAATTTTCCTAAAAAATTTACCTGAAGATTTACTTTTGCTGTGTCGTAGACGTCAACAGAGTGCGAGAGCTGTTTACCTATGGTAATATTTGCATAGCTATGGAAGAAAAATTAGTAATGGTAATTAAGTTTATTCTAATTTTATGAACATGATAGACAACAAAAGCTTAAGGATGAATATTAAGTATCTTACCCATATCCAGTCCCTTTCTTTCCTGGATTTGTGTACAAATTCTTTCCAGGAGCAATATATTTCTCTTTGGGTTTTACTTGGGCACTGAAGAATGGAATTGGGCCACCTATTGTTCCAAAGTAGCTGCCCAATCCACATCTTAAATGTATTAAAACAAGAACATTAAGTCAGATATATGCAAAGAAATGTACTTTCCTAACTTTCAAAAAGATGGATAAACCCTTGATAGTCCTGAAATGTTTAATTCTATTTTCCCCTTTAATAAGTTTTCAGGTGAAGAATAATAAGATCTTACATATTATTTGGATTTTACTATGCTTGTTTAAAATATTCTACACAAAAAAATACTCATAATCTCCTAGGAAATTAATACAGTTCCTATTAATAGCACTGACATAAAGGTCTTTAAAGCAAAACAGCACAGAAAAATCATAAAGAGCTGAAATCTATTTTCTAGCACAATATTCTGCACATTCATTCACCAATATAAGTGCCATCTGAAAAAGCTGAACAAATTGTACTTTTCTACTCAACAATGCCTATCAATGACAGCATCAGTTACTCATGTCTGACTCTTCCTTCTCCCTCGCTTCAAATGCCCTGTTGTTTGGTTAGCAAGACCTCATGATTCCCTGTTAGCAATATTCTTACATTTGCCCTTTCCTCTTCATTTCATATGAGCATTACCCTAAAGCAGGTTCTTGTTACTATTCCTCTGTGGATTATTACAATGAACTTTCTGCCTTTCATCTGTCCTTCACCCCACGGCCTGACTGACTTTTATACAAAGGGAAGTCTCTTCTAATCTCAAAAGTCTTTAGGGGCTCCTCCCTACTACCTAGGAAGTAAGGTTTAAATGCCTTTCCATGGCACTTGAAGGCCCTTTGAAATGTGGGCTCTAGCTTTCCTTCCCCATCTTCATTTAAAAAAAAAGTTTTTAAGCTTTTAAACTTGTCTTTTTTTTTTAAATAAAACAGACACTTCTGAATGGTCCCTCCTGCAGGACCCTCCTTTATCAGAAAGAAACAGTTAGACAAAAACAAACGCAACACGTGTGAGAACACTGAGGCAGATGGAGATTAAGTGACTTACTTGGTCACAAAGCTAGCAAGTATCTAAGGCCAGATTTAAGCTCAGGTCTTCCTGACTCCAGGCACAGCCCTCTATCCATGAGCCATCTAGCTGCTTTTAATTGTAGCATTGTCCCAGAAGGAAGAAAACTCAAATCAGGAATTTTACCTTCATTCAGGCAACTGGAATGGCATCAAGGGAGAATAAAAGAGTTCAGGCAGAAGAGAAAGGCAGACCTGAAAGCAGTGGCCATCAAAGCAAGTTTGACTTGCAGTACTTTTCCTAGGGTAGTGTCCTTTTCTCAGGAAGGATGCAATGATCATAGTTTCTCCTCTATATCCTTCTGTTTGAAACAGTACAACTGTGACCTACAGGCAAGTTTAACACTATCCCTCCTCCAAGGGCATCGCTTTGGCCCTTAGTCTCTTAGACTTGTTGGTATAAAAACCTCTTCAAGGTCTAGGAAGTGAGTGAACTTCTGTGAATTCTTCAAGCCCTGGTCCTACTAGTCTACGAGCCATTCCAAGATTCCAAATACATCTTCAACTACTCCCCAGGTCAAGAGCAGCTAGGTGGCACATTGGATAGAGCTCCGGCCCTAGAGTCTGGAGGACCTGAGTTCAAATCTGGCCTCAGACACTTGACACTTCCTAACTATGTGACCCTGGGCAAGTCACTTAATCCCAATTGCCTCACCAAAAAAGCAAAAAAACCCCAACAAACAAAAACTCAACTCCCCAGGTCTATTAAACATCTGTGAGGGTCAGGCTGAGACAGGTATAAATCTTGCCCCAGACATGCTCACAGGCCAGGAAGCATTACCACCACCACCATCATCATCATCATCATCACCATCACTGATGATAGACCACAAGATTTATCACTCTTGCCATGAGAATGATCCAGTCAATATGGTTGTTTTCCTAAAAGGGTAACCATCAGGTTTCAGATGGCCAGCCAGACCCAGTCCCTGACATAAAGAGCCTCTCCAAATGCAAGTGGTATAGGTTTTAATTTATATAAATTTTATATGTGTTTTTATATAAAAACAGAAAATAATATAAGTTGACTTATCTGAAAGTGGTGAGAAATGTCTTTGTGAATGTGGAATTGTCTTTAAACACTTATCCACTGGAGAATGGGTCTTCTTATAAATTTGTGTCCATTTCTTATGGGGTTTGCATGTCAAGTTTTTATGAGAAATATTTAAGGCAAAGATTTTTTTGCAATTTGTTTTATTCCCTTTTTTAACAATCAATCTGTTCTGTTACCTATAATTTCTTCTACTTGTTGAATTATAATTTTCTTTGACTTCACTGAAGTGATGGGTAAACCATTCCAATTCTTTTAATAGTTCATGATTTTTAAAGGTATTTAAATCACTGATCCAGTTGGAATTTATTATGGTATATGGTGTGAGAAAGAAAGCATACTATAGCAGACAAAAGGCCAGCTTTGGTATCAGGAAGACCTGGGCTCAAGTTTTGCCTCTGATAAGCTGTGTAGCCATGGGACTGTCACTCACCATTCAGTACTCCAGATACTCTCTAAGATTATATAAAAAATCTGTCAAAACATAACAAAACCTAATTTTTTTGGCACAAGCTCTCCAATTTTCCCCAAAGTTTAACTGAATAATAATTCCCAGCTTTATATCGAATTTATGAAACACTGAAAGCCTCTGCTTGAAATTACAGATTCTATTCCTTTGATCTAGTTTCTTATTTTTTAAAATTCAGTACCTGATAATTTTGCTAATTACCACTTTTTAGAATAATCTGAGATCTGGCAGTGTAAGTCCTCATTTCTCCTTTTTATCTCCCCATTGGTCTCCTTAATATTCTTCAACCAGTTATTTAATAGGCATTTACTAAGTGCCTATTAAATTTCAGGGCCCTGGCTAGCTGCTAGGAATATAAGATAATGCTTAACTTAAAGTTCATATTTTGGGGGGAGCAGAAAGGAGCATTGACCATAGACAACCTTCCCACAAAAGGGAAAAGAGCTATAAGATGACGGCTAGTGGGATGGATGGATCAAGTGAGGGTTTTTAGAGGATAGGGGAGATGTGAGCATGGTTGTACATAGGAAGGAAGCGGCCATTAGAAAAGGAGAGATTGAAGATAAATGAGAGCACAGAAATGATGGAAGGGGAAATCTGCTGGAGAAGACAGGTTAGAACAGAATCTTTGTGCACATAAAGAGGTGTGCCTTCACAACGATAAGGTCACCTCGTCCTGGGGGACAGGGAGAAGATAGCAGAAGGCATCTGAGTGATGTGAGATGGGGAAGATTGGAAAAGAGAAAGCTCTCTGTGAATGGCCTCAATTTTTTCTCAGTAAAAATGGGTAAGGTCCTTAGCTGAGAGGGAGGGGAGATGGAAAGCCATGGGAAGTTTGAGGAGGGATGAAAAGTCAGTTAATTTTTGTTGTTTAGTTGTTTCAGTCGCATCTGACTCTTGGTGACCCTGTTTAGGGTTTTCTTGGAAGAAATACTGAAGTGGTTTGCCATTTCCTTCTCCAGCTCGTTTTACAGATGAAGAAACTGAAGAAAATGGAATTAGGTGAGTTGCCCAGGGTCACACAGCTATGAACTGTCTGAGGCCAGTTTTTAACTCGGGTCTTCCTGACTGTAGGCCTAGCACTGTACCTACTGTGCCACCTAGCTGTCTCCAGTGAATTAATTAGTAAAGTGTAAAAGGATCGTTTTGTCATAATGAGGGCCCAGCTGAGTTAATGTAATATGAATTTGTAGGAGACCCAGTCAGCTTCATTCAGCAGTACATGTGTAGGAGTGAAGGCAGGAAAGGGGATAAGTGATCCAAGGCTGAGGCCTTGCAGGGAAACATCAGTGATAGAAGGGGGCAAGGGACTCAAGAGCTGAACTGATTCACCAAAGGGGTCAAGATGGAAAAGGGAGCTAAAAATAAATTTGAAAAAAAAAATGGAAAAGGGAGAATAGAGATAGTGCAGGGTGGTAGCCTGCGAACTGGGACATATTCCCATTTACCCTACTGACTTGCCCTGGTAACTGGGTCATATTACCATCTGCCCTATTTGTTTGCCCTACCTATTTATGTTGTCTATCTCTCCAATGATTTAATTCTTCTTTTCTTTCAGCTAAAATTTTATAGTCTTTATAGAGGTCTGTGTGAATGCCCAAGCATTTCACATATTTTGTTGGTATATTTAATGCTATGCCATCAATTTTTCCTTTACCCCAATTATAAAAATTTAATCTATTTGGCTGTCTAAATATGTCATCATATCATCTACAAATAGGGTTACTTTAAACTCTTTGTTACATGTACTTTATTTCCTTCATTTCTTTTTCTTGCCTTATTTCCACAATTAACACTCCTCAAATTATGACAAATAAAAATAATAACCATAGACAACACTGCTTTAGCCTTGTTCTTAATAGGAAAATCTTTCATATTTCCTCATTTCACATAACATCATCTCTTAGTTTAAAAAAAGCCTATTACTGAATTTAGGAAAAATCCTTCCATTAATACTTGTAAAAAATATATAAATGGGTGTTGAATTTTATCAATGGCATTTTCTACATCCACAGGCATAATTTCATGATTTTAGGGACTATCTTATTGATGATTTGCTTAACAAAACATTTTTCATTACTGTTCTCAGTAGCACTTTCAATCTACTTATAGTTGTTGTTTTTCATGTTTTCTCCTACCGGACTCTCCTTCATGGTATTCTTTACTGGAACCTCATTCAGGTTAAACTCACTGAACTGTAAGCGTCCTCTAAGGCCCTATCTTGAACCTTCTTTTTTCCCTCTATGCTACACCGCCTGATAATCTCATCAGTTCCCACGGACTCAATGATCGTGTCTATACAGGTGGTCTGCCCATCGATCCATCCGTCCATCTCTCCAGCCCTAATCTACCTCCCAAGTTCCAGTCTCCCGTCACCAAATACCTTTTGGACACCTCAAACTGTATGCCTTACAGGTATCTCAAACTTAACATATCCAAAGGAGAATTCATGATCTTTCCCCCTTCCAAATCCCCTATTACTAAGGAGAAGTCCGCCACTCGCTCA